TCAGTGTCACGGGGTTGCGCAGATGTGCATCCATTTCCTATTCCAGCATAGGAACAAGCGCGAGTAATTCTACGAGGATATCCCTCCACACTTTCTGTTATAATGAAAATGGAAATATTTTAAAAAATATGTTTAAAATTGTTTAAATGGATCGAGTTCAATTTTGTAAAGTGAATTTAAAGAAAAATAATATTAGTTCACATACTTCTAGTTCCTTTCTCGAGCCCGCTTTCGTGGATTACACAACTTGAGTGGTATGGATGACTGCATGCAGCTGCCATTGGTGGATTTTCAAGGCATTGATCATAGCCATCAGTATCGTAATCATTAACTGTGGCACCGGTGCTTGTCGAGCATGTGATACATTCGGGTCTTGCAGCTAAAACGCATTGAATTACATAATTAGCAAGAAATAAAGTAGAAAATATCATCTACTGACGTAAAATAAACTAATGGTAACCATTGGAATTCGAGAATGCATTAATTTTGGATAACGAAGAAACTACGAGCGGCGTGAAAATATTAATAAGTGTATAATTTTATAAGTGAATTTTTAAAACATTGTATCATATTCAAATCCAGTGTTTATTTAATTAATACATACTCCCAATTTTAAACAATGATAAAAAAATGAATCCTAAATATGTTTCAAACAAACTAAATTTTAAGTTGAATAAATGTAAAAAAGAACTCACGCCATCCAACGTTACATCCGTCACCCTGGCATGTTTCAGTGCAAGTAACTTCCTTGAAACTGAGACTTCCGACTGAAACTTCAGTGCATTCTCTTGTCACGGCAGCAGTGGCGCACTCACGTACAACGCTAACAAGTTTATATCCTGGATCGGCTGTTATGAGTTTATTCGTATAAGTGATAGTTTAACCTTAACCCTTTCTCAAAAATGAAAGATTTGTAAATATTAGTGAAAAAAGAAATTCAAACAAATTACATAACTTTGCCCTACAGACATATTCTGTGCAAATATAATTTATCCACCTGTGTAAGAAAGATCAACTCTGTCAGATATATGGTATATTGCTGTATGTTTGCAATGAGTTGATCCGCTCGGACAAGCTTGTCTTGCTGTTACTGTGTTGCAACCACCGCCCCCTGTGGTATCACTACAAACGACACATTGAAGCGCAACTGCTTCATTACCGTTGATCATTCCATCAGCTGAAGCACAAATAATATTATGATGTCGGTTATCAATTTCCCAAATTGCCGTCTAGTTAAATATTTTTAATGTCAAATTAGAATATTTCAATGTTTTTATAGCAAGACTGTATGAAAAAAAATTTCAATGTTAGAAATCAAAAATCAAACCTGTGTTGGTGTTGCAATCATTAGTATCGCAGGTAGAGAAACAGTTAAACTCGCTGTAACCAACACTTGCTAGGTTGATTGGTGAGTCACTGTGAATATCGTTGAATACACATTGATCAACAGCTTTAAAATCAGCTGTACAAGCTTTGGTGGTGACAGTGTGGATAACTGCATCGGCTGAATATGGAATAATTTAGACAAATTGATTTTTCAAACTATTTTTATTTTTCAACTTCTCAATCTCCGTTAATTATTACAATTCTACTTACATCCGTCAAAAATGGTTGATGTTCTTGTAGAGCAATATGCTTCAGTCCCTGGACAATCTACACTTGTTGTTGATGTACTACATCCGCTATCAATTTCTGAGTTACACTGAACACATTTTCTGGAGGCCCCGCTTGAGGTTGAAGCTAGGAGAACATATAATATTTAATAAGTTTACTTATATTATCATAAATCCTAATCGTTTTTTCATATTATTATTCTGGGTAGATTTTACATTATATGTTCAACTCTAATTAGAACGGTTCGACCTATTTCTAAATATATAGTGATATTTGAAGAACTTTCGAGTTGAACATCTTTGTGGCATATATTTCTTTTTCGTTTGGAAAAAAATTAGTATTATTACTATTAGTAACACTTTTTTGATCAAGTCATTTTTTCCGAACGTGAGTACGATATTGTTCTGTACTACGACTGTTTTGGGACATCTAGAAATAATAATAAAACGCATGGTACTTGCACTTTGATACTCTGTAGCAAAAAAAAATTGATTTCAGCACGCCATACCACAGTAAATGTTTGTAAGAATCTGTACTTAAGAAGTTTACTTACTAGCTGCCGTGTTGCAATCAGTACCAGACCATCCTGAGGCACAAACGCATACCCCGGTGATATAGTTGCAGCTCCCTTGACTAGATCCGGAAGTACAATCATTTGGGCATTGTTTCAACGAGGCTGAAAAAGAAATTATATAAATAATTCTCTTCTTTTTTTATCTTGTACAAAATAATCAATCCTAAATGCTAACCTGTATTTTCAGTGTTACAGTTGTCGGTTGTGCAATGATAGTAGCAAGTTGTTGTCGCGGTTGGATTGCCGGAAGCATCAAGAACAGTTATACATCTATCTGCGGTTGGAACTGCGATGGAGTGAGTGTCTTCATCAGAAGTACTCGCGACACAAGCTCGCTCAACACCGATAGTGACACCTTAACAATATCGATAGCAGAAATTTGGTTTTTATTGCTGTTTGATATCAGAGCAACATTTAATTGAAAATCATAAAAGTTTAACTTTACCATCACGAACTGTAAATTTTGTACGACAATAATACACAGTTGTTCCTGAATCAGCTGTACAAGTAGAGGGAGTTGGTGTCCCTGGTACAGTAGTGAAACAAGTTTCTGCTGCTTCTCCATTATAATCATTATCTATGCAGCTGTAGCAATCCAAACCTAAAATAATGAATGGTTGTTACAATATTGCATAAAAGCAAAGCATAAAAGAATCGGGTTTATCGTGTTTACAAAACAATAAATATTGATATCGTAATTGTAAATAAAACTTTGTTATACAGTAGAAATAAGGCAACTGGCTATTATCCAAGTTGTGTTGCACATCAGTAAATTTTCATACTTCGAATATTTCAAAGTGGATATGACAACGTACTTAGGGGATAAAATATTTGCAATATGTTTGTCCACATACATGGTTCAAAAATTTCCAAGAACGAGGTTAGTATAACTTTTGCTTTGATATTCTAATTTACACTTCTATAAATTAGATGCATAAATGCCTGTTATCAAACTTACCGTATGTACGGCCAAGGATACCAAAGATCACAAGCAAAGATGTTAAACATTTCATCTTTATGTACAAAATTTTGAAACTGTAAATAAAAATATCGTAGTTATTATTATCGTTGTACGTTTGTTAGGAAGAACAAAACAACAACTTTGCCTGAATTTGAACAAATATCTCTTATGGTAACATCCTAACTTTACAAAAAAATTGCTTCGAAAATATCTTGAATAAATACTTATTCCCTCAAATAATTATGCCTTAAAATGTACAATATAATCTCAAATAAAACGATTTTTCATCTGAATAATAATTTAATAAGACCAGTATTCAATGTAATAAATGAATAACCTCGATAAAAATTGGATGTGAACCTTGCATCTAGATAAGTTACAAAAAATAATTGAATAAAAACCGTTTCTATATTTTCCTGATTAAACAAATCTAACACTTTCGGAATATTGCTAAATTTTATCGTAGTGAACTACAACTCATGTGCTGAAACATCGTGTGAAGTTTTTCTGATCTCCTGTTAATTCAACTGTAGCGTTAGTAGTATAGGTACATAAAAGTCAGAATCCATAACACATTAGAGATCAGACGATAGTTCGAATCAAGTGCGAGCGAATTAACTCAACTGATAATTTTCCTTGTGTGCTCCATATATATAGGAAACGGTAACAATGGCGCGCTATTTTTCAATTTCTATTGTTATTTATGTTAGACGATATCTCGAGTCTCTCATCTACATTGAATGGTGCTGAACATCCTTTTATTTTAAAACCTCCTTAGCAACGTTTATCGAATTTGATACGTGCAAGCCATTTGGAATCCTTTCTCTACTCTCGTAACGTAGCAACGGGTTTGTAAAATTTCAAATGAATGTCTGAAAGAAACTCCCTATTCTGTGTTCTCGTTCTCATTCTTTCTAGATTGATGTCGGAAATCACTAACATATCAAAACATATTTACATTTCACCCTTTCCTAAATTTGATGCAAGCTATAAATTTCAGCATAAATATAAAAGTTTCATTCAGGGTAAACCTCTCACATATATTGTTGACATTGTAAAATCAAATACATTGTGAGTAATCCGTTTACCAAATTTCAAAAAGTCTAGTTGAGGCATTGTGCAAAAACAGGCTTGTAATATCGCAAATTATGTTATAGCTTCAAATCGTTGCACCACCATGCAGATTAAATCGAGTCGTCTGGTGTTATTCTCAGTCCTGACTATTTCTCTGTACTGTAAATGATGAGGTAGGCTTTCATTGTTGGATTATATTTATTTTACCTATGGCGACTCATCTAGCATGAAAAAAACAGAATATTTGCCGAGTCAATTTTCCATATTCATTAAGAGTCAATGTCGCGAAAAGAACAGGGTATAAACAAAAATAATACCACAATGTTGCAGTGTTATCGTGTATTTCAACGGCTTTTAGACCTAACAATGAGAATGAAAATCAGCATGCATGTAAAAGACAAACAACTCAAAATGTATTTCGAACGTGACATTTATTACACATCGATATACAGATCTAACTACTGAACCGGGTCAGGAAACATCATTTTGTACATATTCAAGCATGAGGAAATGATATTTGTCACGCTTGAAGTGGGATTTGTTGGTAAAAACGTAAAATGTATAAAACATTTTCTCAATAGATAGCATGCTATAGCATCTATTTCCTGATATCACTGCTCGTAGAAAGTTATATTAAACACCAAGATCAACTTCTTTGTAGTAAAAATATTTAGGTATTGATGAAGAGACCGAGTGGACTGTGGGAGAACATCTTAACCTATATGCCAATCATCGTTTCTGTATTTATTATTTCCTGAAATAATATAACACAAACAATAAACTTCACGAATCTTTATTCAATAGTCACGACTCATTAAGTCTTGAATAAATAAAATACTTTTGTAACAGATGTTATGGCTTAATTCATCGTCGTTAAAACTACAAAAAATTGAAAATCACTTCTTGATAATAATTTTCACAGCAATACTCAAATTTAATCCTGTACTTTTGTTAATATAAATAAAAGTAATAACATCAATGTTTATAGGGATAAAATTACTCTGGAAATTTAATTTAAAAATAGCGTTGTGTGAGCATTCCAAAGGCTGCTGGTAGAAGGAATGTCAGAAGAGTAACGACTGGCATCAAACCTCCGCTTCCTGAAATTAAGAATACGTAATATTTAAGACCCAATTTTATTGTTCATATGTATTATTATTTATAGTTTGTGTTTTTTTTATTTCGGGCTATAGTTTCAAATGCTCATTATCAATGAAATAAACCACTATGGCAATCAAGACTGGATATAACGTATTATGATTTGATTTGGAACTTTTCTATTATTTCAAACATACTATACTACTATGCTATTATAGCATGATGTCTACCGCCATAAAGTTTTCATTTATCGTAAATATATTCATACCACACCGTAGACGTTAAAAATTCAGAACATGGCAGATGAGTTGCAGCACTTAAGATACCAAATTTACATTTATGAAGCAACCAAATATTTTGTGTGACGATGTAATCATATGTCCTCAAATATTCATTAGAAAAATAGAACACGCACAACCATAAGTTACAACCTCCAAATGTTACAACATTTATATTTATGAAGTTGCTCATTACTAAATTTTTATATTAGCTATCATAACTTACCGACATTACATCCATCTGTTGTGCATGTACGATTGCATGACTCCATTTCTGTGTCACGAGGAGTGTAAGTAGAGCAGGCAGTTCCGATGTCAGAATGGTGACAACCGCGAGTTATTCTTCGAGGATATCCCTCAACACTTTCTGTAACGATAACAAATTTGAAAATCTAAAACAATATTTTAATATCTCAACTGTACAAATGGATATAGAGAGTTCCAGTTACGTACTTCTGCTTCCCTTTCGTATTCCGCTTTCTTGGATCACGCAGTATGCTTCATACGGATTAGTACAAGCAGCAGCCATAGGAGGATTTTCAAGGCATTGATCATAGTCATCAGTATCGTATACGAGATGTGACGAGCAGGTGATGCATTCGGGTCTTGCAGCTAAAACGCATCGAATTATAAAATTAGCGAGAAATAACCTAAAAAACATCATCTATTGACGTAATATAAATTAATCGTAATTATTGGAATTAGAGTATGCATCAATTTCGGACAACGAAGAAACTACTAGCGGCGTAAAAATAATAATAAGTGTATCTTTTAATAAGTGAATATTTCAGACATTATATCATATTCAAATCCAGTGTTTATTTAATTAATACATACTTCCAATATTTAACATTGATGAAAAAAATGAATCCTATATGTTTCAAACAAACTGAACTTCAGGTTGAATAAATGTAAAATAGAACTCACGCCATCCAACGTTACATCCGTCACCCTGGCATGTTTCAGTGCAAGTAACTTTCTTGAAACTGAGACTTCCGACTGAAGCTTCAGTGCATTCTCTTGTCACGGCAGCCGTGGCGCACTCACGTACAACGCTAACAAGATCATATCCTGGATCGGCTGTTATAGGTTTATTCATATAAGTGAAAGTTTAAACTTATCCCTTTGCCCAAATTGAAAGATTTGTATATATTAGTGGGAAAAAAAAATAAAATGTCTATTCTAAAAATATCTGTTTTATCATATCTGCTTGCAGTTGTGCTTTGTAAATTGTATAGCCTTCCTATGAATGCTTATATTTATTACAATATAATTTAATGGAAACAACCAAAAATTTTAAATATAATCAAACAAAGTACCTATCTTTTCCCAACATGTTTATTCTATGCAAAAGTAATTTACCCACCTGTGTAAGAAAGGTCGACTCTGTCAGATATATGGTATATTGCTGTATGTTTGCAATGAGTTGATCCGCTCGGACAAGCTTGTCTTGCTGTTGCTGTGTTGCAGGTACCGTCCCCTGTTGTATCACTACAAACGACACATTGGAGCACAACTGCTTCATTACCGTTGATCACTCCATCAGCTGAAGCACAAATAATATTATTTATTATCATGTCAGTAATCAATTTCCCAAACTGCCGTGTAGTTAAATGTTTCAAATGTCAAATTAAAATTTTCAATGTTTTATAACGAAACTGTATGAAAAATTTCAATGTTAGAAATCAAAAATCAAACCTGTGTTGGTATTGCAGTCATTGGTATCACAGGTAGAGAAACAGTTAAACTCGCTGTAACCAACAGCTGAATCGCTAATTGGTGAGTCAGTGTGAATATCGTTGAATACACATTGATCAACAGCTTTGAAAGCAGATGTGCAAGCTTTGGTGGTGACAGTGCGGATAACTGCATCGGCTGAATATGGAATAATATATACAAATTGATTTTTCAAACTATTTTTAAGCTTCTCAATCTTCGTTAAATATAAAAATCCTCCTTACATCCGTCAAAAATGGTTGATGTTCTTGTAGAGCAATATGCTTGAGTCCCTGGACAATCTACACTTGTTGTTGATGTACTACATCCACTATCAATTTCTGAGTTACACTGAACACATTTTCTGGAGGCCCCGCTTGCGGTTGAAGCTAGGAAAACATAAAATATTCAATAAGTTTACTTATTTTATTAAAAATCTTGATATATTTTCGTATTTTTACTCTGGGTAGAATTTACTTTACATGTTCAACTCCAATTAAAACGTTTCGACGTATTTCTAAATATATAGTCATCTCTGAGAAACTTCCAAATTGAACATCTTTGTGGCATATAAATCTTTTTCGTTCCGAAAAAGTAATATCATACTATTAGCAACACTTTTTTGATCAAGTCTTTTTTTATGTACATGAGTAGCATATTTTTTGCTGTGGCACGACCATTTTAGGGCATCTAGAAATAATAATAAAATGCATGGCACTTGCACTTTGATTCTCTGTAGCAAATAATACGTGATTTCAGTTCAATACAACACGCCATACCGCAGGAAATGTTTGTAAGAATCTGTACTTAAGAAGTTTACTTACTAACTGCCGTGTTGCAATCAGTACCAGACCATGCTGAGTCACAAACGCATACTCCGGTGATATAGTTGCAGCTTCCTTGACCGGGGGTACAATCATTTGGGCATTGTTTCAACGAGGCTGAAAAATTTTTTATAGCAATAATTCTTTTCTTTTCATCTTGTACAATGCAAACAATCCTAAATGCAAACCTGTATTTTCAGTGTTACAGTGGTCGGTTGCGCTGCAATGATAGTAGCATTCTGTGGTCGCGGTAGGATCGCCGGTAGCAGAAAGAACGGTTATACATCTATCTGCGGTTGGAACTGCATCGGAGTGAGTGTCTTCATCAGAAGTACTCGCAGCACAAGCTCGCACAACCCCCGTAGTGACACCTTAACAATATCAATAGCAGAAATATAGTTTTATAGCTGTTTGATATCAGAGCAACATCTAATTAAAAATCAGAAAAGTTTAACTGTACCATCTTCAACTGTAAATTTTGTACTACAGTAATACACAGTTGTTCCTGAATCAGCTGCACAAGTAGCAGAAGTTGTTGTCCCTGATACAGTAGTGAAACAAGTTTCTAATGCCTCTCCATTATACTCAGTATCTGTGCAGGAGTAGCAATCCAAACCTAAAATAATGAATGTTTGATACAATCTTGTTCAAGAGTAGTGATCTGAAGATAAGCAAAAGCATAAAAGAATCGGGTTTATCGTGTTTACAAAACAGTGAATAATGATATAGAAATTGTAAAATTTACTTTGCTATTTAGTAGAAATATGGCAACTGGCAATTATCCAAGTTGTGTTGCACATTAGTAAATTTTCATACTTCGAATATTTCAAAGTGGATATGACAACGTACTTGGGGGATAAACTATTTGCAATATGTTACGTTCACATACATGGTTTGAAAATTTCCCTGAACGAGGTTAGTATAACTTTTGCTTCGATATTGTTATTTACACTTATATGAATTAGATGCATAAATGCCTCTCATTAAACTTACCGTATGTACGGCCAAGGATACCAAAGATCACAAGGAAAGATGTTAAATATTTCATCTTTATGTTCGTGTGAATGAACTTTGATTTTTAAAAACTGTAAATAAGAATATCGTTGTTATTATTATCATTGTACGTTTGTTAAAAAGAACAACTCAACAGCTTTACAAAAATTTGAACAAAAATCTCTTATAGTAACATCCTAAATTTACAAATAACTGCTTCGAAAAATATCTAAAAATATCTAAAAAGATCAACTAATTATGCCTTCAAATGTGCATTAAAGTCTCGAATAAAACGATTTTCATCTGTTTAATAATTTAATAAAACTAATATTCAATGTAATAAATTTGAACCTTGAATCTAGATGAGTAACAAAAAATCGAAATTGTTTCTATATTTTTTCCAGAATAAACAAATCTAACACTTTTAACATATTGCTTGATTTTATCGTAGTGAACTACAACTCATGTGCTGAAACATCGTGTGAAGTTTTTCTGGTCACCTGTTAATTCTTATGATTGCCGTTTAAAACTGTAGCGTTTGTAAGTATAGGTACCCAAAAGTCATAATTCTTAACAAATTAGAGATCACACGATAATTCGAATTAAAAGCGAGCGAATTAACTCAACTGAAAATTTTCCTTGTGTGCTCTTTATATATAGGGAAACGGTAACAATGGCGCGCTATTTTCCAATTTCTATTGTTTTTATGTTAGACGATATCTCGAGTCTCTCATCTACATTGAATGGTGTAAAACGTTCTTTTCTTTTTAAAACCTCCTTAGCAACGTTTATCGAATTTGATACGTGCAAGCCATTTGGAAAACTTTCTTTACTCTCGTAACGTAGCAACGGGCTTGTGAAATTTCTAATGAATGTCTAAAAGAAGCTCTCTATTCTGTGTTCTTGTTCTCATTCTTTCTAGCTCGAAATAGGAAATCACTAACATGATAAAAGATAAATACATAATTACATTTCACCCTTTTCTAAATTTGATTCGAACCATAGATTTCAGCACTGATATAAAAGTTTCACTTAAGGTCACCCTCTCACATATATTGTTGGTATTGTGAAATCAAATACATTTTAATTAATCCGTTATCAAATTTCAAAAAGTATGGCTGAGACATTGTGCAAAATACAGGCTTGTAATATCACAAATTATGTTATAGCTGCAAATCGTGCACCAACTCGCATATTTGATCGTATCGTCAGATGTTACTCTCAATCCTGACTATTTCTCTGTACAATAAACGATAGAGTAGGCTTTCATTGTTGGATTATATTTATTTTACTTATGGCGACTCTTCAAGCATGAAGGCGACAAAAATATTTGCCGAGTCAGTTTTACATATTCATTGAGAGTCATCGTCGCGAAATGAAGTGGGTATAAACAAAAATAATACCACAATGTTGCAGTGTTATCGTGAAAATTTCAACGGTTTTTAGACCTAACAGTGAGAATGAAAATCAGCATGCGTGTAAAACACAAACAACTCTAAATGTATTTCGCACGTGGAATTTATTACACATCGATATACAGATCTAAGTACTGAACCGGGTCAGGAAACATCATTTTGTACATAATCAAGCATGAGGGAATGATAATTGACACGCTTGAAGTGGTTTTTGTTGGTAAAAACATGAAAATGAATAAAACAATTTCTCGATACAAATCTATCTTTAATTGAAACTTAATTTATGAGTAACGTTATAACAAAGTGACAATAAAATGAATTCTGCATAACACGATACTGGTATTTAGATAAATATTTGATAAATTCACGAGCATAAGAACTCAAATTTGTGATAGCTTTCCGAGAAAAGCAATAGATAGCATGCTATAGCATCTATTTCGTGAGATCATTGCGCGTAGATAGTTATATTGAACACGAAGATCAACTTCTTTGTAGTCAACATTTTTTGTTGTTGATAAATAGCCAGCATGGAAGCACTGAGGGAGTGGGGTATCTTAGCTTATACGCCAATCATCGTTTCTGTATTTCTTATTTCCTAAATCCATACAACACAAACAATAAACTTCATGAAACTTCATTCAAAAGTCACGACTCATTAAAGCTTGAATAAATAAAATACTTCTGTAACAGATGCTATGACTTAATTATTCGTCGTTAAAACGACAATAAGGTGAAAATCACTTCTTGATAATAATTTTCACGGCAATACTCAAATTTAATTCTGTACTTTTGTTAATATAAATGAAAGTCATAACATCAATGCTGATAGAAATAAATTTACTCTGGAAGTTTAGTTTAAAAATAACGTTGTGCGAGCAATCCAAAGGCTGCTGGAAGAAGGAATGTCAGAAGAGTAACGACTGGCATCAAACCTTCGCTTTCTGAAATTAAGAATAGGTAATAATTAAAACCTAGTTTGCTCCTCATGCTCATAATCAATGAAAAAACTGCTATTGCAGTCATGACTGGATAAAACGTATAGGATTCGATTTGAAACTTTTCTATTATTTCAAACATACTATACTATTATCCCATGATGTCCATCGCCATATATTGCCTACTAAGGTGCGGTCCAAGGTCTACCGAGTCACCCGCTCCTCGTATAAAAGAAAGCAATTTGTTGATACGTAGTAAGTACGAATTCTAAATATCTAATATTTTCATCGATGAAATGAATACATGAAAATATTATAATATGTTGTATTTAACCTTTCTTCCTTAAATATGATAAAATTAGTATGTTCAATTAACTATTTAAATTATTCCTAAGATATGTACAAATGAAGAGTGCCAAATTGAAAGATGTAAAAAAGTGATATGCGCATGGCAAATGGGAAATACAGCAGTAATCCTTACGCTATAGTACTATATTGGGATAGGTTTCGTGCAATATTAGCACAAAACAATGTTACTTCAATTGACATCTTACCAACGTTGCATCCATCCGTAGTGCATGTGCAATTGCATATCTCAAATTCTGTGTCACGGGGTTGCGCAGATGTGCACCCATTTCCTATTCCAGCATAGGAACAACCGCGAGTAATTCTACTAGTATATCCTTCCACACTTTCTGTTATAATAACAATGGGAATATATATTTTAAAGAATATGTTTAAAATTGTTTAAACTGTTCAATTTTGTAAAGTGAATTTACAAAACGAATATTGGTTCACATAATTCTAGTTCCCTTCTCGAGCCCGCTCTATTGGATTATGCAACTTGAGTGGTATGGATGACTGCATGCAGCTGGCATTGGTGGATTTTCAAGACATTCATCATAGCCATCGGTATCGTAATCATTAACTGTGGCACCGGTGCTTGTCGAGCATGTGATGCATTCGGGCCTTGCAGCTAAAACGCATCGAATTATAAAATTAGCAAGAAATAAAGTAGAAAACATCATCTATTTACGTAAAATAAACTAATGGTTATTAATAGAAAATATAAATTTATTAATTTTGGTTTTAAACAAACTAAAGTTTAGGTTTAACAAATGTAAAGTAGAACTTACGCCACCCAACGTTGCATCCGTCTCCCTGGCATGTTTCTGTGCAAGTAACTTTCTTGAAACTGAAAGTTCCAACTGAAGCTTCAGTGCATTGGCTTGTCACGGCAGCAGTGGCGCACTCACGTACAACGCTAACAAGCTTATATTCTGGATCGGCTGTTGAATGTTTATTCGTATGATTGATAGTTTACCCGTATCCCTTCCTCAAATTTAAAGATTTGTATATATTATTGGAAAAAAATAAAATTTTTACTCTGCCATTATCTGCATTTTGAAAAATTATATCAATCATTATCTGCTTGTGGTTGTGCTTCGTAAAGTTTATCGTCGTTCTATAAATAGAATATATTTATTACAAAATCATTTATTAAAAAACAGCCACAATTTCAGAGCAATTCAAACAAAGTACCTAACTCTGACCTACAGGTATATTAGTAATTCACGTGCAAAGGTAAAGTAATTTGTGCGCAAAAGTAATTTTTTAACTTGTGTAAGAAAGATCAACTATGTCAAATATAAGGTATATTGCTGTGTGTTTGCAATGAGTTGATCCGCTCGGGCAAGCTTGTCTTGCTGTTGCAGTGTTGCAGAAACCTATTCCTGTGGTATCACTACAAACGACACATTGAAGCGCAACTGCTTCATTACCGTTGATCACTTCATCAGCTGAAGCACAAATAATGTTATCATGTCGGATATCAACATTACAAACGGCACCCAACCCTTCTACAGCCGGAACGCTCATATGGGTTTACTTTACTATAGTTTTTAAATTTTGGTACTTATAGGGTCAATATCGCTCTTAGCTGTTTATAGACGTAATGCCCTGATATGAGAGAAGCGATAAAACCTTCCAGCCGTGAGGCAAAGTGCGAATCGTATAAATAGCCTGGATTTCAAAATCTCCTGTCAGACGTCTGAAAATGTGACTCAGCTCAGACAGGAAATACTCCTTTATAACGACCTATTATTGTTTTAGCATGTATTTTCAGTCATACTAACTATCCCTGACCATCCCTGGCGCTGTGTTGTTTTGATAAACATGATTTCGACTGCTCCATAGTTGGCAGAGGTATGGAGATTTTTTGTATGTAAAAAAAACGTAAAATTAATGGTAATTTTAACGCGTAAATGCGCGTATGAGATTGTTTACGCCGTTCTACGCGCATTTCCGTCGAAAAAATTTAATTTTTTTTGCATTGGGGGTGGTCTGTGCAGTAATAATAAGAGCTGTGACGTCATCAATATCAGTAATTGGACCTTGAACTTGACAATACTGTAAATACAATTGTGAATTTCAGAGTAATAACCATTTATGCTATAATAGTCGTTTTGGTATTGTTATGTTAGGAAAAACTTGACGAAAACGTTGAAGAAAAAATTAATTAATTAGGAATTAATTATTAACCCTCTACTGTACACAGAATATCTCAAAGTCCAATTTTTTTTTTAGAAATTTTTGAAATTTTTTTGCAAAAATTTTTTTCGAGGAGTGTGTTTTAAAGATACATTGCTGAATAGAACTCTAGCAGACACTTTTAAAAAGCCATGAGTAAAGCTTCAGGGTTCAATGGTTGACATAAAAAAATAAGTTTAAAAATACCCATAAAATGGGCAGGGCTTGGAGCTTGCATTGGGTTAAATATTCCAAATGTCGAATTAGAATGTTTTAATGTTTTGTTACCAAGTTGGATGAAAAAATTAGTTCAATGTTAGAAATCAAAAATCAAACCTGTATTGGTGTTGCAATCATCGGTATCGCAGGTAGAAAAACAGTTGAATTCGCTGTAACCAACACTTGCATCGTTAATTTGTGCGTCAGTGTGAATATCGTTGGATACACATTGATCAACAGCTTTGAAAGCAGATGTACAAGCTTTGGTGGTGACAGTGCGGATAACTGAATCGGCTGAATATAAAATATTATGTACAAATTGATTTTTTCAAACAATTTTTTAAGCTTCTCAATTTCGTTAATTATAACAATTCTACTTACATCCGTCAAAAATGGTCGATGTCCTCGTAGAGCAATATGCTTGAGTCCATGGACAATCTACACTTGTTGTTGATGAACTGCATCCGCTATCAATTTCAGTTACACTGAACACATTTTATGGAGACCGTGGAAGCTAGGAAAACAACAGAATATTTGACATTTTCATGAAAAATCTTAATACTTTTTTTTAATTTTATTGCACTCCGAGAGGACCATAATATATTACAAGTTCCACTCAATTAAACTATTTAGAACGTCTTAGCCTATCTAAATTTAAAGAAATCTCTGAGAAACTTTCGATTTGAATTTGTTTGTGGCATGTCTTCTTAATTCGTTTTAATAAATTAGTATTACTACACATAGTAATACTTCTTTGATCAAGTGATTTTTTGTGCGAACGTGTGTAACATATTTTTCTGTATCACCCTCATTTTGGGACATCTGGAAATATTAATAATATAAACGATTAGTACTTGCATTTTGATTCTATGTGGCAAAAAAAATATTTCAGTTCGATATAACACGTCATACCGCAGGAAATGTTTGTAAGAATATGTACTTAAGAAGTTTACTTACTAACTGCCGTGTTGCAATCAGTACCAGACCATCCTAAGGCCCAAGCGCATACTCCGGTGATATAGTTGCAGCTTTCTCGAGCAGGACTAGCTCCTGCGTTACAATCATTTTGGCATTGCTTCAATGAGACTGAAAAATGATTGTACATGGCCTAGCTCGGAGCGAAAGTCTCGAGTAAGCATCGTATAAAAAATCAACTTCGTCGATGAAAGTAGAGAAATCTGAGTTTCTAAAAATAACGCGCCTGTTACACCACATATGATCCTACCTAGCACCAGCAAAGTAATTTTTCTTAATTTTTCAACTGTAACGGTGATATGCTATGTTTTGAAAATCTATTGTTTTTACATTAAACATGATCTCGGGTCTATTTTCCCCATAAATGGATGTAACGCTGTTTTAATTCAATTGCAGACCTAGTCAAAAGCATACAGTGCGTTCACACTCTCGTTTTCGTCAAATATTCATCTAGCCCATGGCTATGAAAGAAACAGCAACACAATAAACGGTGATAATATGTTTCTTATATATTTCTATTTAATCAAAATTATTATCTTCGTTACTCAATTGCTCATGCAAATTTTTCATCAAATTCGTCGGTCAATTCAAAACATGCGTTCTAGGGCTTGACTTGAAATTTCAGAAACAGCACAACCCTTATTCCTAAAATTGTGAATCGTGAGGTATATCAAAGCGTTACTACTAATTCTGATTACTTTTCTGTACAAAAAATAATATAACACGCTGTACTGTTGGACTATATTTATTTTTATGGCGACTCGTCAAGATTACATACATATTTGTGAAATCGATTTTCCAGATGTATTAAATAAAGAGTCATCGTCGCTGAATGAACTACGTATAAACAAAATTATAACACAAAGTTGCAGTGTTATCATGAAAATTTCAACGGTTTTCAGACCTAACTGTGAGAATGAAAATCAGCATGCGTGTAAAACACACAAACAATTCTAAAAATATTTCGCACGTGGCATTTATTTCACATCGATATACAGATCTAACTACTGAACCGAGTCAGGAAACATCATTTTGTACACTATCAAGCATGAGGGAATGATAATTGGCACGCTTGAAGTGGAATTTGTTTGTTAAAAACATGAAAATGAATGAAACAATTTCGCAATACAAATTTATCTTCGAATGAAATCAAATTTTTGTTTGACGTTGTAACATAGTAACAATAATATGAAATCTGCATAAAACCATACTAGTATTTAGATTAATATTTGATATAATCACGAGTATAGGAACCTATATTTGTGTTAGCTTTCCAAGAAGAGCAAATGCTACGACGGTGATCATCGTCTGGAACGGAATAGAGCTTCCACTGCCTGAAATATTATGATATATACAACTTTAAAATGTGTAAATAATTAAGTTAAAGATATGTTTTGTTAGTTTTTAAAGTTTTCATTTATCGTAAGTATATTCATACCACACCGTAGACGTTGAAAATTCAGAACATGGCAGATGAGTTGCAGCACTTAAGATACCAATTTTACATTTATAAAGCAACCAATTATTTTGTGAGACGATGTAATCATAACCTCTCAAAGGTTCATTGGAAAAATAGAACACACACAACCATAAGTTCTTCAAATGTTACAACATTTATATTTATGAAGTTGCTCATTACTAAATTTTTATATTAGCTATAACGTACCGACATTACATCCATCTGTTGCGCATATACGATTGCATGACTCCATTTCTGTGTCACGAGGTGTGTAAGTAGAGCAGGCAGTTCCGATGTCAGAATGGAAGCAACCGCGAGTTATTCTTCGAGGATATCCCTAAACACTTCCTGTAACGATAACAAATTTGAAAATCTAAAACAATACTTTAATATCTCAAAAAAAAAAAAAAATGAATATAGGGAGTTCCATTTACGTACTTCTGTTTCCTTTTTGTATTCCGCTTTCTTGGATCACGCAGTATGCTTCATACGAATAAGTACAAGCAGCAGCCATAGGAGGATTTTCAAGGCATTGATCATAGTCATCAGTATCGTATACGAGATGTGACGAGCAGGTGATGCATTCGGGTCTTGCAGCTAAAACGCATCGAATTATAAAATTAGCAAGAAATAACGAAGAAACATCATCTATTGACGTGATATAAATTAATCGTAATTATTGGAATTTGAGCATGCATCAATTTTGGACAACGAAGAAACTACTAGCGGCGTGAAAATAATATTAAGTGTATAATTTTATAAATGAATTTTTCAAACATTATATCATATTCAAATCCAGTGAATATTTGAATAATACATACTCCCAATATTTAACAATGATAAAAAAAGGCATACTGAATATTTATCAAACAAACTAAACTTTAAGTTGAACAAATGTAAAAAAGAACTCACGCCATCCAACGTTACATCCGTCACCCTGGCATGTTTCAGTGCAAGTAACTTTCTTGAAACTGAAACTTCCAACTGAAGCTTCAGTGCATTGGCTTGTCACGGCAGCAGTGGCGCACTCACGTACAACACTAACAAGTTTAAATTCTGGATCGGCTGTTATAGGTTTATTTGCGTTAGTGATAGTTTAACCTTAACCCTTTCTCAAAAATGAAAGATTTGTTGATATTGATGTAAAAAATAAAATGTCTACTCTGCAAATATCTGCATTTTCGGAATATTATATTAATCATTATTTGCTTGTGGTTGTGCTTCGTAAATATCATAGCCACTTTATGAATGCGTATATCTATTACAATGTAATTTATTAGAAAACAGCCGAAATTCAAACAGATTACTAACTTTGCCCTACAGGTATATTCTGTGCAAAAGTAATTTATCCACCTGTGTAAGAAATATCGACTCTGTCAGATATATGGTATATTGCTGTATGTTTGCATTGAGTTGATCCGTTCGGACAAGCTTGTCTTGCTGTTGCTGTGTTGCAGGTACCGGCTCCGATGGTATCACTACAAACAACACATTGGAGCACAACTGCTTCATTACCGTTGATCACTCCATCAGCTGAAGCACAAATAATATTATCATATCGGTTATCAATTTCCCAAACTGCCGTTTAGTTAAATATTTCAAATGCCAAATTAAAATTTTCAATGTTTTATAATGAAACTGTATGAAAAAATTATTTCTATGTTGAAAATCGAAAATCAAACCTGTGTTGGTGTTGCAATCATTGGTATCACAGGTAGAGGAACAGTTAAACTCGATGTAACCAACAGCTGCATCGCTAATTGGCGATCAGTGTGAATATCGTTAAATACACATTGATCAACAGCTTTGAAAGCAGATGTGCAAGCTTTGGTGGTGACAATGCGGATAACTGCATCGACTGAATATGAAATAATATATACAAATCGATTTTTCAAACTATTTTTAAGCTTCTCAATCTCCGGTAATTATAACAATTCTACTTACATCCGTCAATAATGGTTGATGTTCTTGTAGAGCAATATGCTTCAGTCACTGGACAATCTACATTTGTTCTTGATGTACTACATTCGCTATCAATTTCTGAGTTACACTGAACACATTTTCTGGAGGCCCCGCTTGCGGTTGAAGCTAGGAAAACATGAAATATTCAATAAGTTTACCTATTTTATTAAAAAATCTTGATAACTTTTTCGTATTTTTCTCTGGGCAGATTTTACTTTACATGTTCAACTCTGATTAAAACGTTCCGACCTATTTCTATATATATAGTCATCTCTGAGAAACTTCCAAATTGAACATCTTTGTGGCATATTATTCTTTTTCGTTCCGAAAAAGTAATATCATACTATTAGCAACACTTTTTTGGTAAAGTCATTTTTTTATGAACTTGAGTAGCATATTTTTTGCTGTGGCACGACCTTTTTAGGACATCTAGAAATAATAATAAAAGGCATGGCACTTGCACTTTTATTCTTCGTAGCAAATAATACGTGATTTCAGTTCAATACAACACGCCATACCGCAGGAAATGTTTGTAAGAATCTGTACCTAAGAAATTTACTTACTAACTGCCGTGTTGCAATCAGTACCAGACCATCCTGAGACACAAACGCATACTCCGGTAATATAGTTGCAGCTTCCTTGAGAGCTTCCTATGTTACAATCATTTGGGCATTGTTTCAACGAGGCTGAAAAAAATATCATAGCATACATTCTTTTCTTCTCATCTTGTACAATACAAACAATCAATCCTAAATGCAAACCTGTATTTTCAGTGTTACAGTTGTCAGGTGTGCTGCAATGATAGTAGCATTCTGTGGTCGCGGTTGGATTGCCGATAGCATCAAGTGCAGTTATGCATCTATCTGCGGTTGGAACTGCGTCGGAGTGAGTGTCTTCATCAGAAGTACTCGCAGCACAGCCTCGCACAACACCCGTAGTGACACCTTAACAACATCGATAGCAGAAATATGGTTTTATTGCTGTTTGATATCAGAGCAACATTTAATTGAAAATCAGAAAAGTTTAACTTTACCATCATGAACTCTAAATTTTGTACGGCAATAATACACAGTTGTTCCTGAATCAGCTGTACACGTAGCGGAAGTTGTTGTCCCTGATACAGTATTGAAACAAGTTTCTGCTGCCTCTCCATCAAAATTAGTATCTGTGCAGGAGTAGCAATTCAAACCTAAAATAATAAAGGGTTGTTACAATACTGTTCAAGAGGTAAGTGATCTGACGATAAGCACAAGCATAAAAGAACCGGGTTTATCTTGTTTACAAATCAGTAAACAATCATAGAAGTCATGTAAATTAACTTTATCGAAATGACAAATTCAATTTGTTGTGCTCAATATTAGTCGTTTTTTATGTGTCATACTTTATATCTATTTCAAACTGGATAAAAGCAATGTTCATGTTGAAGGCTAAACTTTTTGTATAATTTTTCGTCTACGCCGATTGCTTCGAAATTTTCAAAAACACCTCTCATCGAACTTACCGTATGTGCAGCCAAAAGTATAGAACATCACGAAGAAAGACGTGAATAGTTTCATGATTATTTGATGTAAAATGAACTTTGAGTTTTATAACTGTAAATAATAACAACATCACCCAAATTTGAACAAAAATCTCGTATAAAAACATTAGGAATTTTAAAGATTTCATATATTAAATTAGAAAAATTAAGTTACTGAAAATTTCTTAGATTACAAATAAATCATAATTTTTAAATATACTGGAAAATGTATAATAAGATATTCAATGAAATATTCTCAATCGAGTATTTCAATAAATTATTAAGATCATTTTTTAATATAATAAAATTCCGCTTCAACGATTGGCCGAGCATGATACTACAATACGAGTCTGATTTAAAAGTTTTAAGACTATAATCATTTGCAAAATATATTTAACTCAAAATTAATTCCTAAATTATTCGACTCATACAAACATACATTTAAGCAATACCTGAATATTCAAGTTGCCGCGCTGACATGGTAGTTGATGCGTTAGAATCAGCTATGTTAGCATCGTAAATTAGACATCTTGAGTTCAAATCTCATCCCCACCACCTCACCCAGGGTTTGGTAAATAGGGCAAGCAAATGCCAAACCGGAAGACTCCAGGCCATTTAAATAAACATTAGTTCCGTACATGTTTTTAAATGCAGTAGCTGATTGTACGTGGCCTTGTTCGGAGCGAAAGTCTCGATAAAGCATCGTATAAAAAATCAACTTCGTCGATGAAAGTATACAAATCTAAGTTTCTCAAACTAATGCGCCTGTTACACCACATATGATTGGATTGGACGACCAAAAACAATTGCGAACCGTTCCAGCCACATCCTACCTACCACCAGCAAAGTAATTTGACCTGAATATTTTTGTGCTTTCGTTTTATATAGTGAATATAGGGTATATAGTTTATACAGTTTACAGTGTGTATATTGTAACTATAACGGTGGTATGCTATGATTTAAAAATCTATTGTTTTCACATTAAACATGATCTAGTGTATATTTTCCCCATAACTGGATGTGAAACTTTTTTAATTAAATTCCAGACGTATTTAAAATCATACAGTGCGTTCACACTCTCGTTTCCGCTGAATATTCATCTATAGCTCATGGCTATGAAAGAAACAGCAACGCAATAAACGATGAAATATGTTTCTTAAATATTTCAATTTAATCAAAATTATCAATTTCATTACTCAATTGCTCATGCAAATTTTTCATCAAATTCGTCGGTCAATTCAAAACATGCGTTGTAGGAATTGATCGTAAAATTGAAAAAAAAAAAATGTTCGAATAACTTGAAATTTCAGATAGTGTGAATGAACTGTTTCCGCGCCGTATTTTGAGGGATTCACTGGTACAAAGCAGCACAACCCTCATCCTTAAAATTGTAAATCGTAACGTATATCGAAGCGTTACTACTAGTTCTGACTACTTTTCTGTACAAAAAATAATATAACACGCTGTACTGTTGGACTATATTTATTTTTATGGCGACTCGTCAAGATTACATACATATTTGTGAAATCACTTTTCCAGATGTATTAATAAAGAGTCATCGTCGCTGAATGAACTACGTATAAACGAAATTATAACACAATGTTGCAGTGTTATCATGAAAATTTCAACGGTTTTTAGACCTAACAAGAAGAATAAAAATCAGCATGCGTGTAAAACACACAAACAATTCTAAAAATATTTCGCACGTGACATTAATTACACATCGATATACAGATCTAACTACTGAACCGGGTCAGGAAACATCATTTTGTACATGATCAAGCATGAGGGAATGATAATTGGCACGCTTGAAGTGGGATTTGTTGTTAAAAACATGAAAATGAATGAAACAATTTCTCAATACAAATTTATCTTTGAATAAAATTAATTTTTTTTATAACGTTGTAACAAAGTAACAATAAAATGAAATCTGCATAAAACAATACTGGTATTTAGATAAATATTTGATATAATCACGAGTATAAGAACTTATATTTGTGTTAGCTTTCCAAGAAGAGCAAATGCTACGACGGTGATCATCGTCTGGAACGGAATAGAGCTTCCACTGCCTGAAATATTATGATATATACAACTTTAAAATATGTACATAATTAGGTTAAAGATATGTTTCGTTAGTTTTCAAAGTTTTCATTTATCGTAAATATATTCATACCACACCGTAGACGTTGAAAATTCAGAACATGGCAGATGAGTTGCAGCACTTAAAATACCAATTTTACATTTATGAACCGACCAATTATTTTGTGTGACGATGTAATCAAATGTCCTCAAATATTCATTAGAAAAATAGAACACACACAACCATAAGTTCTTCAAATGTTACAACATTTATATTTATGAAGTTGCTCATTTTTTATTCTCTATATTAGCAATAACTTACCGACATTACATCCATCTGTTGTGCATGTACGATTGCATGACTCCATTTCTGTGTCACGAGGAGTGTAAGTAGAGCAGGCAGTTCCGATGTCAGAATGGAAGCAACCGCGAGTTATTCTTCGAGGATATCCCTCAACACTTTCTGTAACGATAACAAATTTGAAAATCTAAAACAATATTTTAATATCTCAACTGTACAAATGGATATAGGGAGTTCCAGTTACGTACTTCTGTTTCCTTTTTGTATTCCGCTTTCTTGGATCACGCAGTATGCTTCATACGGAAAAGTACAAGCAGCAGCCACAGGAGGATTTTCAAGGCATTGATCATAGTCATCAGCATCGTATACGAGATGTGACGAGCATGTGATACATTCGGGTCTTGCAGCTGAAACACATTGAATTATGAAATTTAGAGAATTGAGAAGAGCTCAAATATATGGCCTTTTCCAAAAAAATACAATCTTCAAGCACCGAACCTTTCAAGCAATTAGTACGGTAGTTGAAATGGAAAGCGATTTTTTAATAACGATAAGAATAAAATAATAAGAACAGCAACCAGAGCAAGAACAACAACATAATAACAAATCGATCAACTTCTTATCCAACAAGAAATAACGTTGAAAAACAATAATTATTTACGTAATAGAAACTATTATATTTACAGATAACGAAAAAACATTTGAAAATGATTCTAACTGTATATTTTAAAAAATAATTTTTTATGAACATTATATCATATTCAAAGCCAATGTTTAACCATGCATGTTCCCAAAATTCAATACTGATGTAATAAAAGTTGAAACTATCAATGGAACTTACGCCATCCTGTGTTACACCCGTCACCCTGGCAAGTTTCAGCACAAGTAACTTTTTTCAAGCTAAGGCTTCCGATTGAAGATTCCGTACATTCAGTCGCTACAGAAGCCGTTGCGCATTCACGCACAAGACTAACAAGTTGATATCCTGGCGCGGCTGTATTAAAAAAAAGTGATTTTGTAACAAATTCATCTATTATATTTCGGATCCGGACAAAATTCCCTCAAAACTAGCCAATAAGTAAAAATCTTCATAATGACTACACTCGCAAGCAATCTCTGCTATAGTAAGTGTATCACCATTGACAAATTGTCATCATCTACCGGCTATCAGAGACTTTCTCCATATTACGTCAAAGAGACAGCTCAGAGAAGTATAAAAAATTGAATGAAAAAAAAATACTATGAATACCTAAAAAATGAAAACAAGCCTAAAAATAAAATTTATTTCTATATATACTTTCGAACTAAATAAAATTGTGATAGATAGGATACACGTAATATGTGCTCAGTCAATTTCTACAATTAGGCATATACGATCACTCAATAAAATGGCCAGTGAAGAGCAGAATACAATGTTTAAGTTCATATTCAGAAAACTCTAACTTACCCGAGTACGATAAATCAGTTCTGTCGGAAATCAAATATATGGCTGTGGCCTTACAATGCGTTGAACCGCTGGCACAAGCTTGTCTTGCAGTAGCTGTGTCACAACTTCCCGAACCAGTGGTATCACTGCACACAACACATTGCAACGCAATCGCTTCGTTTCCATTGATCACTCCATCGGCTGCAATAAATAAACCCTCAATAGCAACAGTTTCATTGACCGATTTACATTCACTTCAAAATGTGAAGAATTACTGGTGTAAACTGGATTTTTACTCCGAGGATTTTTGATCTAAGAGTGTAGTGTTTAGGTATATTTGCTAGATAACTTGTCTAACTTTAGTATTCAACATTTTGTCTAAAACATAATTATCTGAAAAGTTTACGCGAAAAGCAAAGTTCTAACAACTCTAACCTGTATTAGTATTGCAGCCATCAGTATCACAAGTAGAAAAACAGTTGAACTCTTTGTATCCCACACTTGAACCGCTGATTGGAGCATCGGTATGAATATCATTAAAACTACATTCATCCACAGCTTTGAACAATGTCGTGCAACCTCTGGTTGTGACAGTGCGGATTATCGCATCGGCTGAAAAAATAATTTTTTTGTCAATGATCATTTAGTCTTATTAAAGGATATTATATTTAATAATAAAAAGTAGTATATTGCTCACATGCGTCATAGATAGTGGAAGTTGTTGTAGAACAAAAGGTTTCACTTCCTGGGCAATCCACGCTTGTTGTCGATGAACTGCATCCACTATCGGTTTCTGAGTTACACTGAACACATTTTCTTAATACTGTCGAGGTGGTTGTAGCTAAAAATGTTTAATAAAATGAATTTTTATTAATGAATGATATTTTTAACATTTTTTTATTCATTCTTACTTCCCAATATATAAACAGTGAATAAAAAAATCTCACTTGCAGTCGTACAATCTGATCCACTGAATCCACTGTTGCAAACGCATGTTCCTGTGATGTAGTTACAACTTCCTCCGCTACTCCCACTATTGCAATTGGTTGAACATTGCACCAGAGAGGCTAAATCATGTTTTAATAAATTAAATCACTCTAATTAATACACAAAGGGTGGGCAATTCCCTTGTGATTCAAGTGAATGATTACAACCCTTTATATACAGTATATACGAAGTCTTATTATAGCGCTTATTGTGTATTTTGTTTAATATTGATGACACGGCAATTCAGATTTTTACGTTATTTTTGACACGTAAATATACCTTAGAAAACTTACAGCATCGACTCCTGTGCATTTGACTACTTACTTGTAGATTTGGTATTGCAATTGTCGGTTGTACAATGGAAGGAGCAAGTCGTAACGCCGGTAGGATTTCCACTTTCATCAAGAACTGTGGTACACTTGTCTGAAGTAGGAACCGCTTCTGTATTAGCATCCTCATCACCTGTACTGGCAACACATGCCCTAGCGATTGCAGTTGTGACTCCTGTATGCAAAATTGTTAGAAATAAAATCACACAATATCAACTTTATATTCAACTTCGCGCACTATGTTTCCTATTTTATAATATTACCGCTACTCCAAACAAATATTATAGTATTTTTTATTACAATTTATATTTTTGAAGAAGAGTGTTCACAATCCATGCTCACACTTGTCTTTTTTTCTATTTTGATCGAAAACAAAAGTTTTGTTAGCGTATCCGTTTTGATATGGAAGTGATCTCAAGGGTATCTTTCGTAAAAATCGTTCCAAAATGATTTGATAGTGCCCAAATTGTTAACGTGATAATGTAAAACCTAATAATTTCTCAAGATTGTAAGAATCAGCGAATTTGATGTATTTGGTAAGTTAATAAAATTACCAATAAAATTAAACAGATTTTAAGTAAAATAAATTTGAACCTATACATTTTATACTGTTTTGGTGAATATGCTTTTTGTTGTTTGCATGTTGAAGTTTTTTGTAAATTCATCCTAGATCTTTTTCGAAGACAATGACAATAAAAATGTTAAAAATGCTAAATCACAAACCGTCTGTAATAGTAAATTGTGATCGACAATAATACACGGTTGTTCCACTATCAGCTGCACAGGTTGCAGAGGACGTCGTGCCGGACACCGTTGAAAAACATGTTTCTGCTGCTTCGCCATCGTAGTTGGAATCAGAGCACGTATAACATGTTAATGCTGAAAGGTAGTAATTTAAATAAAAAAATGATGTTTATATAGACGGAATATTGAAAGCAAATAAATGAAAAAAACATAATAATAATGAACATGCTCTTACCATTGGTTCTGGAAACGAAAGCAAACACAACGACAAGAAAACTTGTGCAAAATATCTTCATCTTTATAAATATTTATTAGGTTTCAAATATTGAATTGAATAATCTGAACTTAAAAGTTTGAAATTTTCATTTTCAAGTTTTTGAAGGGTTATTATGGCAATAGGTGTGTGTTTTACGTTCAGTTACAGTAGTATCATTATTTAATTTGACTTCAGCCCGACTATTGAAAATTTCTAAAAAATACCAGTACAGCCATAACTGGCCAACATATCAAATATAAATGTTCTGACTTTATCATTAATCAATATTGTTTAACAGCAAAATCTTGAAGGTACAAATTGTGTGTAGATGCTAAAATATCTGCAACGAAACGTATTTAAAAAGTAATATACTGGTATATACTAATAGTTACGAGCCTAGTTATAAAATTTCTATGCAGTTGCGGGGTACTCCCGTAGGTTAGGCCATAATTTTATTCCGATTTTCTTTATTTTAGTTATATTACGAGTTTGTGGATTGTCTGTGTTAGCCAAGTGAATATACCCCTAGCCCATAGGTGTCAGTTTCTACACATAACTTGATTTAGGCGAAAAAAATAGTCTCCATATTGGTACACACATTTCTGAAGGGCCGTTGCGTTTATATTGTTATTAAAATGTTTAATATTCTAAGCAAAATATGACATTGGAAAGCATATCCTGTTTTATGATTACCAATAAAATATTGAACATTTTCAATCCGGTTCCATTGCACGAAATAAACGATTTAACTTGTGCATTGTTAATGTAAAACACTATCTATGGGGTTACAGCGACATTTTAAATTTGGTTAGATTAATATCAGCGAAGAAATTGACCGCTAAACTTCAGGTTCTTTCATTATAATTTCAATTACTGTTTTTAAAGTCCTTCTAAATTCTATTTTCAGTCTTTGCAAATAGTAGTTTTATTAATAAAAAAGTAATATTATCAATATTTTAACCTACTAAAAAAACACCGATAAAAACTTGGTAATGGAAGTTCTAGCCTTTGAATTCGAAATTATTATCCGCGGCCATTATTGTGTTATAGTAGCAAAAATCTTTGAATCCTCGTTTGAGAAAAGTCATCTTCATAACAACATGCTAGTTGTTATTTGTATCTAATATTGATTATCAATTGAATATACGAATAATATTATATATGCGAAAAAATTAGAAACATCATAGCTGTCTTTCAAACTAATGCTACATTTCGACTGGTGGCCCACAGTTTTATAGTGTACGACGGTTAAAATAACATCATCTATGCCCAGCACAACAATAGACAGACATCGCGTCAAAAGCCTTTTTCGTCTCTTTTCAAAGACCGTTTAATATCTCCCAAGGCTGTTTCTTCAACTGTTTCTTTAACTGATTTCTCTATACCGATCATAATGAAAAACACATAGAAAAACACAAACGCTATAGAAACCATCTTTATCTTTTTCGAAAATATTCGTTGACAAAAATAATGGTTTCGTGAAAATGGGAGCAAGTACGCGATAAAAATAATATTTATTTAGAGTCTCGCACCCTTTTACTTTTGTTCAATGATACACTTTTCATATATATTTAGCTATCCAAATGTTTGTAGATGTATCTTGGTGGAACTGCTTGAGTTACCAAACAGTATTGTATTTCCGCGACTATTTATTTCTACATTTTGCTCCATGTATATTCCTTTACTCAACCAATATTTTCTGTAAATATAAATGGTTTGCACTTACGAACTACTCTGTATCTAATGCTAAAACTGGTTGGCCTTAATTTGTTTCAAAGTATTTAACAAATCTTTCATCGTGATAATTTCAGAAACAGTAGTTTTTTAATTAAAAAATTCAACCTTCAGGAAATTTCATATGTGATCTCTGTAACTGCAAAATTATCTTCGAAAATGTTTTATGTGTAGCACTAATTTACTATTCAAATATAATTTAAGCCGGAACAATGTTTTATATCCTATCTATTATCTAATGCTTCTCAAATAACGATTTATAACCGTTTCAATGTGACTAATGTTACTTATACATACATCATAACCAGGTATTTGGTATTGGTTTTCTACCCCTTCCCCTACCGATTTTCCAACTATGAGTTGCTAAAAATCGTCAAATTTCCTAATGATACAACATCTCCACAATTTTACATGTTCCACTTTGTTCTCTTTCCCATCGTTATCTGAGTCATGTGACTTATTTGGCATTGATATAAGCCTTACCCAAACGTTCAAACAATACCAAAAACGAGTCCTAAAAGCTTCCTTTCCTCCTTTCCAATCCTTAGCGTATAGTAAACCTTTAAAGTCTGACCCTATTTATTAGTTAAACACGTTGTATTTTTTGTTATTTTATTAGAAAATTTTTGTTTGCAAAGCAGATCATCAGGGTGAAAATAAGAATAACAACACAATCTTTGCATATTGCAGAAATTAAACGTTAAGAAGCGCATTTCACCCCATCGCTGCTTGCGTCGTAGGAAAATGTGATCATATAAAGTTTAAGAAACTATTTGATTTGAAAATCAATATTTATGACCATTTTTAAAATAGTATTAACATTTGATAATTACGGGTTTGTCAGTATCTTATAGAAAATTCCTGGAGAATAAAAGTTTATGTATAGGTTATTAAAGATGTAACTTGGCCATCCATCCCAATAATGCAGGAATGAATACAGCAATCATTGTTTGAGTTGTCATAGAACTTCCGTTACCTGTAAAGGCAAATAAATTTGAAAAAATTATTTAGATCAATTTCATCCACTACATTTTATTTAGCACCTTCTTTTATATTTCAGTGACTATTTGTGAAAAGATGTGATTGAAGTGAATGACTAAAAACGTCTATATAGATGTACGTATTATTTATAAAATACGTACCAACGTTACATCCATCAGTAGTGCAAGTACGATTGCAAGTTTGGATAGGAGTGGAACGAATAGTTTGGGATGTGCATCCAGTTCCGATGTCATAATATGTACATCCTCTTGTCATTCTTCGTGGATATCCAGCGACACTCTCTGTTGAAAGTTTGATAATATTTCTCAATTATAAGCTTGTATATTATATTAATTCAATAGGAATTAAAATTGGTTCATTCCTGGTTTATTTTAAATTTTCCTGAGGATTCTTGCGACGAGAGATAATTTATAGATCTCGTTGTCGTTGCTAAGTAAGCTAGTTAATCTGTATACTGAAGAAGTGGAAGTACTCACTTGAAGTTCCTTCTTGCATTCCACTTTCATGAATTACACAAAATCCTTCATATGGGTAAGTGCAATCCGCTGCTTCTGGGGGATTCGTGAGACATTCATCGTATCCGTCGGTGTAACCTGGTGAGCTTACACAACTGATGCATTTTGGTCGTGCAGCTTTTGATAAAAAAAATAATTAGATTATATTTAAACTCAAATTTTATTGCGATCAGTCAAAAATATATAATTCTTTCACGTTTTTGATTTGAATGATATAGCTGTTTGATATTGCTTTCAAGATACGCTTTTATATCTTATTACAGCCCAGTTATGCATTGACTCTAGTAGCCTAGTTCTTTTTCACTGGAATTTTTGCAAGAATTCAGTATTTTATGAATAGTAGACTCACGCCATCCGGTGTTGCATCCATCCCCTTGGCATGTTTCTGAACAAGTTACTTTTTTCAAGCTGAGAGTACCGATTGAAGAGTCCGTGCAGGCCGATGTAACTGCAGCAGTAGCACATTCGCGAACCACACTAACAAGCTTGTATGCTGGTGTAGCTGAAACAATCATTCAGATTTAAAATTAAACAATTATATATAACAAATAGTTATAGTATATTAAGGACTTGTGTATGATTAGAAAATTCCGTCTAGTACTGTGCAAGATTCCGAGCGTATTCATGTAAAATGACATTTTTTTTTATTATCAAAATAAAAACTTCTTTATTTCATGGATGAGAAAAATACAAAGCTATATCCATAATCTAAAATTCAACAAACATACCACCAGTGTATGCCAAATCAGCTCTGTCGGAGAGCATGTACACGACTGTAGACTTGCAGTGTGTCGATCCACTTGGACAGGTCTGTCTGCTGGTGGCCGAGTTGCAACTTCCTGATCCAGTAGTATCGCTGCAGACAACACACTGAAGAGCAATAGCTTCGTTGCCATTGACAATTCCATCAGCTGAAATAAAATGATGATTTTACATTTATCTCCTCAATTCAATCTCTAATAGAATTCTGACTTGGAGATAAAGAGATCTCCTTGGAAATTATTTATACATAAAATTACCTGCTTCCCAGGGGTCCAAACAGTAACCTTCTAATATGAATCATCTCTTCAATTAAATAAAATGATAGCATCATGCATGAAAGTATTTTAATTTTTACCTGAGTTGGTGTTGCATCCGTCAGTATCGCAAGTGGAATAACAGGTAAATTCGTTGTATCCGACAGATGAGTCGCTGATAGGAGCATCTGTGTAGATGTTGGTAAACGAACACTCGTCGACTGCTTTGTAGGCACTTGTGCAACCGCGCGTGGTGATAGAAGCGACGACGGTGTCGGCTAAACACAGTATAAGAAAATATTTCAAAACTCTTCCGTAAATAGACGGCAATTACTAATTTACCTTGTAATTTCAATCCTTGTCTCTAATCTAATAAGTAAAGTGAGGATATAAGTCAGTAAATTTATTTTTCATAGGAAAGACAAGTATGTTATCATTACTGAAGAAAATATATACTCGACGACAGCGATTATATTTTTCTGATATGAATACCATACAAACAACATTTATACATTATATTTTTTATGTACACAAAATACTGTTTTCTGTACCTGCGCTATAGATGGACGTAGTAGCGGTAGAACAGTACGTCTCAGATCCAGGGCAATCTACGCTTGTTGTTGAAGTGGCGCAACCAGTATCAGTTGCAGAGTTGCATTGAACGCATCTTCTCTGCACAGTTGATGCAACAGTGGCTGTAAAAATCGATTCGGATAATCTTGTATTATTCATGGATGAATCAATAAAGTTGAATGGTACTTTACTAGAGTTAGTGAATACGCTTTTCATTTACATTTCACTAAATTTTAATATATTGACTCATGGTATTGCAGTCCAATATTGCTTTTTTATTGTGCTCTGTTTATTGTTTTAATATTGTGGTGCTGTAGGAAAAGTAGCTCTTAATTAAGTTCCAATAATATTCTAATCTATTTTTTCAACTCACTTGTTGTAGTGCAGTCTGTTCCGGTGAAACCGCTATTGCAAACGCAAGACCCAACAATGTAATTGCATCTACCTCCACCACTTCCAACATTACAATCTGTGGAGCATTGTCTCAGGGAACCTAGAAAAAAAAATTTCGTTTCAAAAACAAGCCAATCCTCATATATTATAACTTCACCGTAAAGAATGTCACACATCCTGTGAAATAATAGGGCCTATAGTTAATTTGCATATGCCAATATTTTCAATACTCTTTTGCGACACTACCATTGCAGTAGTTTTGTTAGCCCTTCTGTGCTTTAAATACATATAATCAAAAAGTCATTTTGTCAATGTCATTCAAGTTCCCGAAGCCAAACGAATAAAAGAATTTTATCTATATCTAACTTTAATTTTCGTTATACATACGTTATAATTTAATAAATGCGGAATTTAATTCACATTTTGATACCATTCCAATAAGACCACATCTCGCCAAACTTACTTGTGGTAAGGGAATTGCAGTCGTCGCTTGTACAATGATAATAACAGTCCGTTGCGTCGGTTGGGTTTCCGAATACATCAAGGACTGATACGCACTTATTGTTTCCAGGGACTGCATTTGTGTTTACGTCTTCATCGCCGGTACTGGACGCGCATCCTCTACTAACTCCTGTTACGACTCCTAAAATCAAAAAATTAATTACAGTAAATTTAGTTGTTATTATAATTTTAATAAATATTTTCAATAAAATACAAAATTTAAAATTGAGCAAAACTTCTTTGCGAATTTTTTTTATATTTATGTCGTTTTCAAGTTACCTTTGAGAAAAAAGTCGTATACGACAATCTAGTGGTTGCGTTACATATAAAATGGCATTTTTTATTTTAAACTCAAAAAAAGTCAGCCATGAACAATCTTTATACTATGTATTTATTTACCGTCCGTGATGGAAAACATAGTTCTGCAATAGTAGACAGTGGATCCAGAATTAGCTAAACAGGTCGCTGTAGAAGTTGTTGTTCCTGTTGTTGAGGTCTGGAAACAGACACCAGCCGAGCTTGACTCGCCGTCATATCCGTTTGTATCGGAACATGTAAAACACGTCAAACCTGAAATGTTCAGAATATTTTTCCTTACACAAGCATTCAAAATAAGTCGGTAGGCGCCCAAAATCTCTGCTGATACATGAGGCGCCGCACTTCAGTAAATCGGTATCATCCACGCAAAATTGTACCTATACTGTAGTGACAGGGGTGAAGAAACTGCTAGTTCATTTTGGGTGCTGCGAGTCTCGTGAACGGTATACTGCGGCTAATATTTCATGCCATGGAAACGGGACACCAGTTCGGACTTCAGGTGAAACGCACATTATCAGGGTGACATCATAACTCACGTAAGAAATTTCAACCTGATTGGTCCAGCAGTTAATTAAGGCACAGACAAACAGACAAAATATTGTCCATTTTATTCAGTCAATATGAATATTTCAATGAACCCTATATCCTTTTATAACTCAACTTCAGTTATATATTGTTAGGACTTTATTTTATTTGAACTAATCGAACTCGTTTATATGTGGAACACTTTAAATTTTCCCTCATGCTTCTCAGGAAAATACAAAAGAATGACCAGAAGAACTATATTTAATGTACTTTTTGTTAGAAATTATCAAATCTCCGAGCATGGAGTATGCTTTGACCGTTTGTGTGTTATGAGGCGTTTTTTCGGCAGCGCGTGCGCTATTTGCACTAGACAAACAATCTCACTTTTCAACTTTAACAGAACCGATGAATTTTCAATAATACAGCCCCTAATCGAATGTGGACGATATTTAATGAATGAACGTTTCGTATAACCAGGACTTGTTTAACGTAAAAAAAAATATATATTTTTACACCTAATAGTATACACATGTTTACAAACAATTTACTTACCATACGCGTTAGAAATCAGGCCGAGAACAGCCAGTGCGGTTACAAAAATCTTCATTTTAATTGAAATATTTTAATACAATTTTTACAATTTATTAGGTATAAGTATATGAAAGCTGAAAATACAAAAATATGGAATTCAAATATATTATTAGTATAATTTTTATGTTAGTTTTGAACTCGATCTGAAAAGTTTTTGATTTTTACAAAAAACAATATTTAATTGGAAATATATTTTTCGATTTAATTTTCGAAAAAATTTGAAATATGGGTTTGCACATGTTGTAGTTGTTCATTTGCAATATTTATTTTTGTTAGAAAAATTGGCTTTGTGAAGAGTCGGGCGGTGAAAGACAGATACTCTTTTACCCTAGTTTTATTCTTCATAAAAAACAAAGCAACAATAAACTGTTGTTTTTTTTTGTCTGCACGTTTCCTGAAAATTGAATGTTTTTATAATTTTTTTCTCAACCTCAAAGGTGAAAATAATAAGTAAATCCACTAACTTCAAAATTACACTACATCAGTATGGAAGTGGATTTATTTCTACATTTAAAAATGATGATTTGAACAAAATCTCGCTCCTAAATAATAATTTTACTCGGTTTCCGCAGGTCACCTTTCACGAATCTTTACTCTCGTTATTAAACCGGGCTAATTTGTGCCTTCGAATTTATAGGCCGTCGTTGAGGCGTGTAGCTATCGTTAAAGTTGGTATTAAAATATTACATTTTTTCGTTGGAGAAAAATTCACTTCAGTATCCTAGCAACGCAAAAAGCACGCCCACAAGATAGATCTCATTCAATATTTGATATTAAATGTGTTTTTCGCGATCTTTTCCTAGATCTTCTCGTTGATCTAAGAAGAGGTTGTTGAAAACCACTAATATTTACTTTTCACGGACTGTTTTCTTTTTTTTAATATTTCAAGAGAAGCAAATATGATATGTGTGTTTCTAAACTTTAAAAAATTCAAATGATTAGTACGAATCACCCATAATAAATGAATACGAGAATGATAAATTCATTTCCCATTATAAAAAAAACGTTCAAATAAAACTAACGAATAAAGCAGGTCGAGTTTTTAAATGTACATGAAAAAATGTTAATTCCAGTAATAAAATCGATAAAATCTGTTTGGATATATGAACGAGAGTCGGTAAAATTTTTAATGCTTGTTCTGCATTTACATTATTTTACTGATGTTATTATTAGTATCGTCAACATGGGTTCGTGGCCTGTACAGCCCAGAGACCAGTGGTTGGAACGCGAGAGAGTGGGAATGACTATTATAAATGTTGTGACAAATGGTGTACGTACAAATAATCACTTACTCCTAACATTTTCGGCAAGTGAATATTATTTACCTGTGAAGGAGTTATTTGTATTTACGATCATTAATCATAGGCATATAATAATACCGCGATAATTGACTATTCAATGCTTTAATACTAATTATACTTTAATTTCGGTATGACGAAATCTAGAATTAAATACTAAATTTACTGTTTGTTAAACTAGAATGTATATATAAAATATTTAAGTTATATGGAACATGAAAATAAAAGTATTTAATAAAACTTGATTCACTTTCATATATTATATTACGTATATATATCACCCATTAATCATTTATACTCACTTGATTTAAAACGCGAATTATACAATATACAACCACCTGATTAAATACATGAATGAATTTGCGAATTACTAAATTCTGAATAGCAGTGATGATACTTATATTCATGAATTCTAGCCATAAATAGTAAACCACACCATAAACAGTAAATGCGCAGTACCTCATAATTTTTTCAGAATTTTGTCTAATTTTGTTTGTCGCGTTTGACATCAACAAAAAATCGTTCACATGAACGCTCATCGAAAATTTAAGCTCTTACTCTGTGGCCTCACCTCCAGCTATCTTAGGAGAAGGACGCAATGAGAGCCCATGTGGGTGGTTATGACTTACAATTTCATTTGGAGCATGATATTATGAAACGGATACAGCCTCTGCATCCCAGTTCAGAAACGCGGTAATAAATGATATCTTTCATGTGCAACGCAATTACAAATAAAACGCTAACATTTCATAATGATAAATATATTACTTATATTATCTTACTATATTTGCATGGATATTTTTGAAATACGAGTCAAAGTATGAGATACCCAATCGTCGAGTTAATCTATAATAAACAATGCAAAACGGGAATACACTCATTTTTATTGATAATGTATATACTATATATGACATCATTTATAGTTAAATATTTTGCTTTATTTACCCCATGGGTCTTGGAATTATATCCCAACGATTATGAATAAATGTTAATTGTGTGACTTTTTTTCAAAAAAAATTATGCTACGATCATCATCAGGTTACTAGGCGTCGCCACATTATACCTTCCTTCTAGAAATATTGAGCAATTTAATCTGCAATACTTTATCGAAATCCCATTTATCGACCAATTCTTGATGTGTTGAACGCAGTGTATTTCACGTACACTTCGTCGCAAATATCTACTCGACCTAGCTATAACCGATGCTTTATCTACTATGAAACAAGATAAAAAATCATCCAAACAACGGTATTTATTTATAGTTCATGCTCGGGTAATATGTTATCATACATGTTTCTTTTCAGTTTGTAAAAAGTAAACATTCTGGAACGGACCGAAGTGTCGCCACAATTTCCTGAAATGCTCACGTCGTCACATGAAAGCTTGTTATAGTATACCATTCAAGCGGTCAATACGTGGTTATTGTCTCTTTAAGTCCAAAGAAAGCCATGCGGGATTATTTCCGCCATACAGTTAGACTCACGCAATAGGAAAAATAGCATTCTTGACGAGCTCAATGGAGCGTAAATCCACCCACATGAAAAGCTGAATTAGGCCAACCCTGCTAATACCTCGGCATACCAACAAAACGAATCTTCCTTTTTTTTTCTATTTATATTTTTTATTTTCTGTTTTTTTTTTCCGATTTGGAGTATTACAATTTTACTCATTGTCACATTGCCTGTAACTAATTACGCAGATCGAAATGTTTAGAAGTTGTTCGCATACTTCAACGATGAGAAATGTGATCCATTTTATACACAATCTTATCATCGCAAAGGCTTTCACCAAAGGTGGCTTTGCCATCGTTTCAAATATAAAAAAAAGTTAGCCTTCAGCAAATCTTGGTTTTTAGAGGCCTAATAGCGCCATAATTATGCTTGCCTAAAAATTAAGCTTTCTAGCGTATTGCTTGTCGTTTGGTGATTTTAATCATAGTGCCTTACGCTATTTAGAGTATATTCATTTCATATTCAAATACCATATGATTAATATTATGAATGTCATCAAGTAACTATATTGATATTGCGTGTCCGTAATGTAGCAAGTGCTTTTGTATAATATAAAGATTTACTCAGATATTGGTTGGACAAAATGACACTGACATTCTAAAAAAATTTTAAGTTTTGCTATTAGTGCATAATTGTTAAAAACAACAAAAATAAAAGTAATATATCTCGAATTTCTAGGTATTTAGCAAAATTTAGGATGTTCCGTGTGGATTGTATGTATTCTATTTTACTAAATTTTGAAGACTGAAATTTCTGACGGTTTAATTAGAATTCGTCTTCCTAAACAGCGATATAATTGACATATCCTCATCTTACTTCCATAAAATATTGAATAAATTAAACAGTCGCAATTTATTAAAAAAATGGTTTGCAAGTAAATTAATCACTCAATTTATTGAGACAAAATAATCAAAAAATAAATAAATTAAAAAAAAACATTATCTGATTTCGAATTGAATAAAATATCAACAGTTTTAAGTTTAAATTGCTTATATACTCATTAGTGTATCAAAATGATTGATAGAACAATAGTAGAATAAACTAACAATAAATGATATAAGATAATAATAATATGTAGTGAGACATCAAGGAGAAAACTTTATTTAGAAATATTACATTTGGGATTGTATGTTGTGGCCCATGATTGCCCTTCGTAAAGTATATATGATTATAGTTTGAGATTAAATACAGCATCATTAGTATCTGATGTATTCAGTACTGGCAGCTGTCAGATATGCCTTCACACATACATTTTAAGTGTCTGAAACAAGTTAAAATAACAGTGGTGAACGAACAATATAAATTGGACGTGTTTAACACAATTCAACGAAGATTTGTAAAGACACTGCAAAAATATCGCGGCCGCCATGTTGTTTTCTTTGCCACGTTACAGTTGCTAAGGTGACGTTTTTACCAGTGTGTTTGTAAAAAGAAGAAGAGCGCCAGCATGAAAGAAGTAGACTTGGAAGATATTCTTGCCGTAGCACTGTTTTTATTCCCTGCAAGAAATAGAAATAATGAATGATATGAAATAATGAAAGTTTAATCTCCCAAAAACAAATTAAAATTCCAGATAAATACTACTTTATATTACATTTATACAAGTTTTAAATATTTATCGTGATATTTATCTATACCGCATGCATACACGTCCTTTCATGTGAATAAGGCACTTTAGCTGAGATATCAAGCGGGTAATTGAAATACAAGTTGCAACAAATTCTTGGTTGATAAAATCTCACTATGATCACAAAATAAATTTGCTCCTATTAGGAATTTGAATGCTAAATTGACTCTTTTAATTGAGTCTTATTGTGCACACATTAATCGCCTTTTGTAATTCACAAACACACAACTTATGAAGCTGAAACATAATATGAGGTTGGTTTTTTTAACAGTTTGTTAAGGGCTGTCTTAGTATTCAAGGTATTTGATTGTATTTGAAACTGACTGTGAGTTAGCATTACAAAATAGGTCTACAGCTCTTATGCCTATTTTGTGAGATCGCCATACCCTGTAAAATAAATTTGTAAGATTTGACGACCTATATACAAACTGTATAATCGTATTGAGGATTACGGAGGACTTGATATTCCCTATTATTCTTGGAAAGGGGTTTCATTTGTAGCGGAACCATATATTTATAGCCTTCTGTTTTGTACAATCGAAAGTCGTTCATTTCATATTGAATTGTTGTAGACATTGGTAGAAAATGAAGAACACAAGCACGATGGAGAAATACATCAACATAAGAATATCAAGTATGTGACCCCTGACCTGTAATCAGGTATGACAGCTAAAATTTGACGATACCTTGGAGAGTTGCTTAGCAACCCGAGACATCTGAAAGAATCAATATTGAGTCGTCTATGGAAACCGTTCTTTGGGAAAACTGCACGTTGGCGTGCCAGGGTATTTTCTTTCGCGCTGAAATGAATGGGCATCTTTTGATGAAGGACAATGGGAGCGACCCATATTGTGCGTCGGACCCCAACACAAAAGAACGTTGTCAACTCTTTTGCGGATATTTTTGTAACAATGAAGAAGGGATCAAATTAATGCCATCTATACCGTTATTGACGACTCCCTTTTTTAAAATTGAGCGAACAGAAATAATGAAAATTAAATTTTTAACAACGGAAATTGAGAAAGGGTGGGATAAAATAAAACAAATTTAAGATACTCCCAAGCATGAACGTGTAATAATATCAATTTATATCATATATTTTACTAAATCGATGCTTGATCAAGTATTTATTTATTGGCCGATCGTATTTCACGTTGTAAAATAGGTGGGCTTTGAATCAATATTTTTGTAGGAACTCAGAATATAGCCAAAAAGTCCCCGTAGTGTTGCAATGTTTAATTTTAAATGTTGCAAAATAAATATTTTCTTTGCTTTATCATGAAACATAGAGCCTTTTAGTTCAAACTTTTAATTCACATGAGCGTCCTAGATGACTTTCGTAACAAAACCATACATGTATGTAACTTTCATTCTTTCACATGTGGTTATAATTTTCTACTGCATGGGATAAAATTGAATATTTCGTTTTACCTGAACGATTGGTTCTAGTAATCTGTCACTCAATTTTGAATTGAGCGTCATAGCCGGTATCACCGTATTAGTCAGTAAAATTTCTTTCGACTGATTTCGACTGTTAAGTTTGTATGTATGTTTGTGCGGACCTCCAGAAGTATGTGCACCAAGATGGCGCACAACCTGAACACAGTATGTGTACCAGGTTAGGTTTTAGGTTGTGCACCATCTAGGTGCACATACTTCGGAAGCGCGGTTTGCGCATTATACCCACAAGTGAAGTGTCCTTCACTTCATGTTTGCATTCACTACTAGGTTACGATAAATATTCTTGAAATACCTTGTGCATATTTAAACTCTCCTAGACCATAATTGCAGCCGTGCTTGGAACAATATTTGACGCACTCCATGCCAACGTTTCTCCCATATTCAGTGATATTCTTACAATATTCATCTCTGATAAAGGATTCCTCATAAGTAGAACACCCTCGTGTTATTGAGTATCTTTGATCTGATATTCCTGTAACATATTAATGGAATTCGAAATTTTACCATAATTTTAACGTCGTTCCATTAAACTAATCAAGGTATTATGCTTTGGGATATATAGTGCTCTGATGTGATTCCAAATGGCGAATTCGCGAGATAACTTTAAAAAGGCCAAATATTATTCACATCGAAATTGTTGTTTTTTCACCTTTGCTATTAACCAACCAAACGTAGGTAAATATTGCATTTGAAACGACTCTTGCCATATAGCATATAACCAATTAGATTTACACGGATAGGTTGATTACAACCAAGAAAGACTTTTAAATTGAAGAATTAATTATAGCGCGGTGTATGATCTAATGTCAACAATTTCCAAGCAAATTTTGTTTTTTTCTCATACACTACACATTTTTGCCTTTGTTGTTTCGGTCATTTTATCTATCAAGCCAAATCGTTTAAACAATAAATTATTATGCCAAATGGTAAACACAAAGAAAGAAAATGAAGTGGGATGACAGTATAACAGGAAGTGAATGAGAAAATTTGTGTGGGATGGGAAACTCATGCTGAATCTTTATGCCTTGAATACAAAATCTTTGTCCTATCAATGAGAATGCAAATATAGTAAACATAAACTTACTAATCTTATAACACAAAAAATTAATTTGTGTTTATATCATTCCATTCCTGTGATAATTTGGATTTTACTTGAGATAAATTATCCTAATATCCTATACGTCATGTAAATCCACACCCATGAAAAATTTGAACAACTTCTGAATGCCGTTGAAGCAAATTCATCTCAATAGTATTTAATTTATTCCAAATCAATTGATGATTTGGTCTAGTGACAACCGTGAATTATAGTTTAAATATTGAAACTTGTAGTTTTAACAAGTGTGGGGCTCGCATATTATGCGCACTTATCTACACCTCACACTTGTTTTGTAACATTATGAATCATTAAGTTATTTCTCAAAATAATTCTTGGCACATATGATGTATTCTGAATAAAATAGCCTACTTAACATGTAATTACTTGACGTGTCTGCGTGTGTGGGAGTTAAATGTTACCAGCAAACCCTCAATCAGACTCGTTCATGTGAAACAGGGCGTTTCCGACGGCTTATTAAGGTTTTCCATCACTTCAAGTTAAAGTAGCTAATTTTATAAAAACTTGCTGAAATGTTCAAAGCAATATTAAAAAGTTTGCTCCGCTTGATACTGTTATACACAGCAGTACGTTTAAATTTGGGAGGGTCACTGCATTCTATGGTCGTATTCTATAGATTGTCATACCGATATCTATTTCTGGAAGTGTCCAATTTTGTAGATATGTGTAGCAGAATTTCTGATGCGGTCCGGGGCAATACTTTGCCGTTGAGGGGTAAAGTAAACATTCATCTTCATTGGATGCATCTGCCTTCTTGTTACACTGAATACACTTGGGTCTTGAAGCTAAAAAGTAACCAATATGTGAGAACTTGCCCAAACATATACATGTGGTAATTGAGATTTCAGTTATAGTATCTTCTATATCATGATCAGAATCGAATGGAGCGCTTTGATATGGAATATCAATAATTTTTGTTTGAATTGAATCATACTCAAAGAAAAACTCAATTGTAACATATAATAAATACAGCAGTGTACAGCAGTGTACAGTACAGCAGCAATACATACAGTGTCATTCAATCGATCTATTCAGTACATATAAAAAGAAGACCAGAGAAAATTATTATTTGTTCTCTCATGTATAAGTTTTTATAGTGTATTTTGATCACTTAATTTATTTTTTTTGAATGGGTCGAAATTTGTGCCAGTGTTTATATTGCTATATTTGGTTTATTGCCCTTCCATAAACCTATAGGAGTTAAACTGGTAACGCACATCTGCGCATTGACGTATTGTGTGAAATGTCTTATTGTCTTTTTCTCTGGTAATACCGACAGTTCGATCTAAATAGTGTTGCTACACAAACTGCGCACTATGAATCAATATGTATACTTACGCCACCCAGTGTTGCAGCCATCTCCTACACACGATTCCTGACATGTAATTTCTTTTAAATTCAGACTTCCGATTCTTTTTGCAGTACATTTTGTCGCCACTGGTTCGACTGAACATTCTCGTTTTATTGACCTTACGGAAACAGATGGATCGGGTTTTACTCGTCCTGCAAAAAAGGTCAAAGTTGAAAAAGCTGGAGTCGTTCCTTTTATCCGATTTAACTGCTATATTGCAGCTATCGACAAGTTGAATTAATCGCATTTCAGTGCTCCTTATTTCCATCAATTTTTGTTCCCGACTATCAGAATGTGATAAGTAATCCCGACTATCAGAATGTAACTAATTGTAATTATGTAAGTAATTGTGTGCATATAGGTTTAGCTGAAAAATTACCTTCAAATTTCGAGTCCTTCACGTTGGTTTCCCAATAAGTGACTGTCGCCAAACAATGCGTTGTATTTTTCGGACAATCCGTCATTAATTTTCGTTCGGGTCCGCAACTAAACTCGTCACCCTCGCACACTACGCATCGCATTGGAATAAATTCTTTATCCAAATCTCCATTAGCTGCGAAATATATAAATACAATGATCAGCAAATTTACCTGAAATTTTAGCCTGAATGATAGTTTTTCAATATATATTACCAGTGTCGCCATTACTTGACGACACTTCGAGGTTTGTTTTGGTTCATTTACGATTGATAGCAAAACGTAGGTATTTGCAGACAATTTTATAATTTGAAGAGTTCCTTGAAATGAATTTGTCGCTATTGAACAAAAAGTAAGAGTTCAGTTAGTAAGAAAATGATCTACGATAAGTATTTAGTGAGTATGTTGTGTAGAGCAATGAACATTCTAACACTTTTTGCTCCGGATGACACTGGTTGGCTTCAATATTACTGAATGTCCAGTTGACATAAAACCGAAATGAGGGGTCGTAAATTATGATATCCAAACATCATTTGTGTGCAAAATGGGCTGAAGATTCATCTGAAATGCTAATAATCACAAAAGAAAATTTTATCTTTCCTATTATAATATAACGTTCCGGATCTTTGTAAATGTGTATAAGTTGGATGTGTTTGATATTACAGACACATGTCTATTTCTGATTAGCTGCAAATAAAAACTGTAATTACTACCCACTAAATCTACAGAAAAGCCTCATTTCGTCTAATCTTTTTGGTGAGGGGATGAAAATAAGTTATAAAAAATATTCATTTCGAATAAAAGGTTTTTTAGAGAGGGCATTACCCATTCCAATGTTGCATCGATTTGTTGAACAAGTTGACACGCATGTATATTCCGTATATTTAGCTGTTCCAATATCATTTGTTGGAGTCAAATAACATCGATCAGGTGACATGGATTGTCCTGTACAACTTCTTGTTACGACCGGATCGTTTACCACTGAGCCATCTAAAACAAAAGTTTGCTTGGAATTTAACGATCTTCCACGATTCGAATACCATTGTTTATACAATGGAAATAAATGAACGATATCTGTTCAATGAACAATTTTTACGATTGAGAAGGACAGGCACGTTCTCCTTCAAAATGGCTATAAACCACCTAAAACATGAAAATGAAAAAATATGTCCATTATTTGCATTTGTGGAATCGTATATTTTTTATGAAGATTAATAGATAGGTATACAATTTATACTTTATTTCAGGCAAATAGTGAGTCTCTGTTAAAAAATAATTCTTCGGTGAAATTGGGACCCAAAATTAAACGAAACGATATTATTTCTTGCATACACCATTTGTTATTCAAGATTAAATTTTTTTATTGATAACTCACCTGGTTTAAGAATCCAGGTCTGTGTTGTTGAGCAATGTGTTTCTCCATTTTGACATCTGTCCCCTGTAGTTTTATTAGCGCAATTCGAATCGTATTCAGAATTGCACTGTACACAAACGCGACCTCCGTGGACAAGCTGAGTGGCTGTAAAATTGTTTGTTGTATTATACTCAATCGAACATGGCCACGCTTTTCAAGTGTTTTGGGGAAATATCAAGGGTAGGTATTAACATGGCTGACGTCACAAGAATTTAAAATTTGTAAATTTTCCCGGTAATTTAAAACGTTTCGTTCCAAAACAGTGTTAAATTGCATGTTTCTACTACAAAATTGTCAAACAATTCACATAATAACACCTTATTGCAAAAGGTATAACCGTATAAAAACGCATTTGCAATTGCCAGATAGAAAGGTATGTGGAATACTTTTAAATAAATTGCAGAATAAAAAAACCTTCACGAAACGAAATGTAAAAATTGACAATGTTACAAATTCCAAAAACCAAAATTTTTTTATAGCAAAATGTGAAATAAGTATGAATCCTCTATAGTCTATTAAACGATGAAAATAGGTAAAGCACTGGGATTGTTTATACAAATTAATATACGACAAGATTAATGTGTTTTAAAACCTAACTTCAATATGATATTTCACATAACGTAGAATTAGGGTTTGTAATTGGAAAAATATTTATGCTTACAAGTCGATGTAGCTTTCAGCATCTTTACTAATCGATTTATACAGAAATATATGATTCAGTCAGCGATTTGTTTTGATAATATTATAAAAATGTGTATTCGAGTTAATAGCAATCATGAGACTTTGATCCTTTATTTTAAATTAATTTTCACTTAAATCGGATTTATATTTCAGAACAAATATATTGTTAGAATGGTACTTAGTAAAAAATCGACTCAGAGACGAGCAAGTCATAAATATACTTGTGCATTTTCTGTAAAAATATATTGTTCATTTCGTGAAAAAAATGAAGTGCTTTTACCTTTTGTGTTACAATCTGAACCCTCAACGTCTGCAGCACATTGACATTTACCAGTCAGATAGTTACACTCTGAATTTGTAGGACAGGCACGTGGACAAGATTTCAAGTTGTCTAGATGTAGAATAAAATTGCGAATAGTTTTCATTTGTAAAAACGATCAGAAAACTTGATAACACCAAATATTTGAAACACAAGTGAGATTTTGAGGTTGTAAACATGAATTAATAAATTATTTTTGTTTTTATCGATCTATACTTCGAAATAAAATTGCATGTTTTTAGTTGCCAATCCCATTTAAAAAACACCTATTTAATTAATATGCATATTCGAGTACGATATTTAAAATAAGTTAAAGCGGAGTAAAAGGAAGAATGTGCCACAAATTCAGTTGTCGTGACGGTAGTTTTTTGTTTAAAAAAAAACAAAGACATCCAGAAATATTCTCTTTCAACATGGACTAACCAAGTACTTTGATATCATTGCACATGTGTCCTTTGCACGGCACGTAACATTCCGTTTGCTGAATGTTCTTAGATCGTTTGGATCTCGAATAACTCGTGGTACATTTTACAGAATCTGGATAACTATTCGATGCCTCAACTGGATCTTCTCTCGGATTTGTACACCCTCTTTCTAAATACGAGAGAATCCCTACAAAAAGAAAAAGGAAGTATTAACACCCAGTCATGGGAAGTAATGTCATTTGATTAATAACCATCCCCTTTTTTAATTGGTATATAAAATCATCTAGAGGTAAATAGGAACATCATCTTTATCATATATTCAAATTCACGCATTTTTTATGCCAATAGGTTTATTCGTTCCGTATGATATATTCTTTAAACAATAAACTTTAAGGGCAGTACTATAAATAAAATAAAAACGTGACAGGTCATATTCTATAATAAGAGATGAATAACGTGATAAACTTTTTCCATCAAGGTATTTCCACAACGGACCATATTTTTTCTGTGATTTTTTGTAAACCGTATTTATTAAAAAATAAATACAGTTTTAACATGTTTAATTAAGCCATCTTTTTAAGAAATTATTTACTTGTAAACATTATATTTTAGGTCCATGAACGGGCCATTGTGGGAGTAAACCTCAAGTTGCTCTCAACGCCCAAACATAATAAGACGGATTCTAGTAAACCATAACTTTAAAAATGTGAATGATTTTACATCACACTGATTTTGATTATTATTTTGGAACTGTTTCGGACTGGTTCTTAGTTTTAATAAATATAACTACATATAAGTATCGTAAATATTACCATCTGTAAGTTCCATTTTTGTGAAGCAGTATGAATCTGCATCTGTTACAAGACAACTCGTTTCGTTTATTATTTCTTTGTCATCAAGTTTATAACAATCATCTAATCCTGGTTCTCCGTGAAAATGTGATTGCGAACATTGAATGCAGTTGAGAGAATTTACTGAAATGAAAACGGAAAACAAAAATAATGAAAGTGGCAATACAAAGTTTAAACAATTATAACTAAAACAGCCACACAGAAAATGAAATGTAATTTGGCCAAATATTTTAAACAGGAAAACTTCTAACTTCATGACATGGAAGGTTTTAGACAATTTAAGCAGATGCAAACGAAACGTCAAAAATGCATAAACTAAAATATTATAAACTGTATGCCTAGTGTGAAACCACCACTGCAAAACATGAATGTTAAATTTATTATTTCATAGAAACTGTTGATGTAAATAAAATTTCCCCCAGACTGATAAACGAACGAAAGTGAATAAAGTTAGACGTAATAAACGCTACACACAAAACTAACTGTAATAAATATATACGTGACAGCATATATCACGATTCTACAATGTTACGCACAGGCAAAGAACCATAACAAGTGTATAGATAGCTCATTGTCCACCACCTATGAAACATGAATCGGGAATATTTTTTTTATGGGAGATATCTATTAAGCAAAAAAAAAATTCGTCAAGGCAAGTTTTAAAAACTACCTTCTGCATACGTATATATTAATATTACGTATGTGCTAAACGAGGAGTTTCAGAGAATTTGGGTCAATAAGTATTATCTACAAAAAAAGGTCGTGTGAAAGGATTTGTGAGAATTCAGATATTAAGAAACGAATGAAAAATCATTTTTTCGGTTCGGTTCGATGGTCTACATGTAGTTACTATCCTCTGTGTAATTTTGGTCGTTCGGATGATTAGGCTTGACATGATATTTCATCAATATTTTCGAAAACAATTGTAAAAACAGACATCATAGTTATTTTGGAATTAAAGTTCAATTGAAATTTAAAAAAAAACGATCTAGTTACATCGACTTTAGTCAATTTAGTAATTTTAGTTTGCAAACAACAAAAAAGAACATTTTTGACTGATTTGGCACATCGGAAAAAATGAATAGTTCAACAATGCAATTATATTCGTTGTTACTATTAGTGCAAGTTGTCTGCACGAAAGACTAATTATTTATTAATGGCGTAGCAAAAGATTTGTTAGACTAAACATTGTTAAAATGATTAAGGATGATGTAGAAACAGAAAATAATTGATATTACAAAATCACAAAATTTTACTGATACTTTGTTTTTATTAATTTTGAGAAAGAAAGTTCGAATCGTTTTATTACCAACCCTTCAAATGTTATTTATAATGACTATTACTCAACATCATCATTCATGTCCTAACGATCCAAAACCCCGTTCCTACTTCCTGTTGGTTTGAAGACATTACTATGACGTGTAGCATCCACCAACATGATCATTAATGACTTTTGGACAAATAGTCAAATCGGGGTAAATTGCCCCAAAACACCATAAAATTTAATATAAACAATCAGTTTCAGATTAAACTTTTAGAAATCAATATACGACTGACGATTACAACAGATATAAAACATAATATATACAACGGATATACTATTTTGTCATTTTCATTATTTATAGCATTGGATGTCTCACATCCTGTGGATATATGCTGCACTGCTCCATTTTACAATGTCATGATATGATTGGTTTGAAATTGAAATGGTAAGTGAAAATGGTTTTAAACCAAAAATAATTTTCATCACAAAACATCATATTCAGTCATTTTCCTGCAAATTATCCATAAATTCATAATGTCAAAAATCGGTCGTTTTGGGGAAAAAAGCACTGGCATTTCTACATTTGTAGATGAGATAACAAATTTCACTTTATATAATATTCTCATCTATAAATAATTCGAATTAGGACAATTGTGGTGCGGTCTTTTGTTTTATGCTTGGCCGGTTCTGGTCTAAAATCGAGTCTGAATTAAGTTCATTTTGTTACATACAATACAAATTCCTATTGCACGATCAAAAACACATATTATCTAAACATTCCCAAGTAAAATTACTCATTTAAACGTTGAATACATTACCTGATGAAAAATGAAAATAGCTGAGAGTTGCCAGTAGTAATGTTCTGAATATCCTTAAATCCATTTCACTTTATTATTCAAATCACAAATTTACAGGAACCATATATCTATCAAATATCTAATCAAACTAAATAAACAAATAACAAGGTATAATTCCCCGTTAATAACTACCATCATCAGCAAAATATTAGGTTGCCGTTTTCCATCTGCTAAAATACAATAAATAACAAAGTCGACATTTTGACTGCGAGTGGTCGAACCAGTGCAAAGCTGGCATATCAATACATCGAATTACAGTTTGTCGACCAACCATTGACCTAAGCTTCAGACTGTTACATCACAAAATGATGTCATTTCATGTTCGGCATTCAGAAGAAATGTCTATTCGTTTTCAGCTTGCGCTACCGCGAAATAGTTTGCATAGCGTTTAGAAGGTTAAACGTATTTGTAATGTAGTAACCCTATATCTAGTGATTCATTTTACCAGAACCAAATCGAGTAACTCTTGACTCAGTTTTCAAAAATATATTTGTTCCATCAAATTAAATTTACCAAAACATATCAATTTCTTTTTGAAGCTATACTGGAAAACACTCTGCCTTATTCTGTCTTTAATCTAGAAATGTCGAGGTTTAACTGACTTAGACTCACTAAGAATTTCCTACCCTGGCAAGATGTCAGCTGTTAAACGAGTGACTCCGCTACTATACGTCGATTCATGCATATGAAAGGTACAAAGTGTATCATCAAAAGTCAATGGAATATTAATAAATCATAAATATATTGCTTTAGCTTGGTGAATCCCTCTCCTAGTGTATCAAAACACATATTTAATACTTGACATTGATACTTCGAGAGCAACTAATTCGGAATATACGATTTCGTTAAGCTTCAAATTGACGCCTAAAATTCAACGTCTAAATAATGCATTCGGTCGATGGTGGTTTTCTATTGATCGCCTAGAAATAATTCATCAGTTAACTTTCCTTATGCAAATATCATTAAACATCAGCTAATTGCACATTGTTCTAAGAAATTATAGTCCTATTAGAAACGGTAATATTTTTGACATATAATTAGGAGATATGGATCTACATTTGTCGGTGAATAATAAAATCAATTCCAAAGTACAATTCCACCACGCTCCCTCGCTACTGTAAATATTTCCGTTGTGTTTTAGCAGCCAAACGAACACTGTTTTAAATATACAATCAAAAATTTTACGCCCAACAATTCAGATAACTCTATACTATCTTCATCGGCATTTGTCCGTCTAATCTATAATTCCATTTTCAACTCATTAAAATTACCCATTAATAATGAAAATTTCTTCTTTTGTTGGTATGAACTTGGATTACGGGATAAATTTACAGTAACAACAACTAACTTTCGTTTAAAAATGATGAAAAATACAAATGCTGCGCAAATCCAAGGAATATGGAATGGTTCGTCTTCAGGTCACTTGTCCTCTCAAATATCATTTTCGCAATTGTATTATTTTCAGCTATAATATACAATTTCTCAAAACCATTAGGTAGAATTCGTTTGTATTTTAACACTATAATTGCTTTTTGAATATTTGGTTTCAAATTAATTCAACTGTTTGCAACTGTACTGGGTATACATCAAAAGCGAAAATTTAATCATGATCGAATATTTATAAAACCGCTATCACCAATTCTAGGAAATATGGCGGCAATGTTTTAATGCGGTTGCAACGTAAGATTTATTTGACGCTCATATGCTAAGTATAGCAACCGCTATAATAAATACATAGCACGAATCAGATTAAAATCACCTATATCTATTCATTACCTGTACAGATATAGGTTCTATTCCGACTTCTTGTTGTTAAATTTACCATACAAAATGCTTGATCGTAGATAGGGTATCATGATTTGCTCAATCACGAATTATGGTTATATGCATTACGTATTGTACATGCACGTTACATGAATGGGAAAATATGGCTATCAATATAGCGTTCGACGATGACGTCACACCGCGTAATGACAAAATCAGTTCGGAGAAATTATATTAATTACTCAATTCCTGTTTTGAATCTATATTTGAAAATTAACATTGGAAATCAGATTCCAGAACGGTATCATTACTTTTCTCGGGATATTATTGTAGTGCTTGACTAAAAATCACACCAACTCTATTTTACCATTCTTCTAAGTATGAATGAAATATAAATCTCAATAAGAATAAAACAAAAACAAGAATCGATCTAATTTAGATAGTTCAGTATAGCGAACATCACCTAATTGGCAATGACCAACAATTAGCATTATCGTAAAACTGAAGAATTTCCTGCTTACTTATCAGTAGGAAAAAAACTGATCGGACAAACCGTGGAAGGCGAAACTAAAAAAACATAATATAATGATGTCAACACATGACGTAGAGTTGTATTATATATGCAGTAGTTAGTGGTTTATTCACAAAAAATATTTGAAATTATGTCACACAACAATCGCCAAGTTCATTTGAATAGGAGAAATGTTTTTGTATTTTTAAATATCGAAAAGAATAAATCTTGAAATATAGCGTAATCTGTTTACGATTGTTTATTTTATAAACTGCTCCCAATTTCTCAATAATTCACGTTTCGGGAGAATTGAACAAATAAGCTTTCTCTTATAAGACATCAGTTTAAGCACGGTAGAATATTGTATTTTCAGGGTTGTGCCTTAGATAAACTTTAAGATTTATCAATGGCCAATGATCAAATATATATGCTGCTTGCTACAATTAGGTATATTTGTCGAAAATACCAGTCTGTTGTCAATATTTAAATGAAATATCCTGACAATCTCCACCACTCATGGTGCGTATAGTAATACTCTAATTATACGATAATACTCTTGCTTTCATCTAGAAACCTGAAATAAACATTATATATTCTTATAAACTACAAAACAACAGCATCAAAAATCTAACTCAGTTACAAGTACTTTTTTGTTTCCAGCTCCCGATTAAAGATTAATTTTGAATTGTGATTCCAGACAGTCTTTAACTCATTGTCTATAAATTTATGATATACAAAATGACGAATACTGATTTTATCGAATTGTGGAATATGTTAATATTGCCCCCGGCCAACAGTTATATACTTGAAAATGTTTTTGAATATTGAACACACAATTATATTTAGCGGTTTTAGGCGGTTTTTCCGGATATAATAAGCTGTTAGTCTACAATTGCAAAATAGCGCACCACACACGTGGATCCAGAATTGTTTCTAGTACTTGTTCTTTTTAAAAATGCCCTACCAGCGCACAAAATCGTACCTGCTATTTTATATGAGATATGATTAAAGTTAATCGTATTTAACTTAACTTAACCTCAGTAATTTTATATGCATATATAATACAACGTTTGGTCGCGTTACAAATGGTTTCTAAGTGGCAACTGAGACAGATTGTCTGATACTAAGCATTAAGCTGATGGCATTTCAAGATCAATTAAAGTAAGTAATGTTTCGAAAGTCGGATATTAACACAAAATAATGACGTCTGGATATCCGAATTTTTTTGTTTTGAATCAAGTCCAACCCCAACTTAAAACCGCGAACCAGACCGCATATGAAACAGCGGGTCCAAAATCTTCCCTGTTCAGCATCTTTGGCAACGTCTGTCACGTATTATATAAGATCGATTACCACAAATAGTGCTTTGCAACCTTATCACTAATTAAAAAAAAAAAACTAGCCGACCCCACGCTCTACTTTGTTTTATACATCATACGTTTTATATCAGAGTCTTTATTGCATTTATGTCCAAAAATTATGAATAATTTTATATTTGATTGTTTCCCAAACGCGATTTTGAAAAAAAAAGAAAAGCAATTTATCACTCGCATAATTGGTCTGGAGTAAAATTATAATTAAAAAGTGTGCTGCTTTCGAATTCCTTTCGTAAATTGTATTTGCATGGAAAGTATGAAATTATAATTACGTAAATACCTGAATGCAATATACGACGTAACAAGCATAAACGGTTGCAATCTGAAGTGTAATTATCAATAGGTATGTATCAAATACCGAAAAATTCCACGTAATTCGGAATAGTTGAACATCAATTCAATTTCACTAAATTCGGGCTATATTCGTGAACATATGGTTTCACGTCTTTAGAGTAATATTAAACGGACAGCACATTAAAATTAAATCCTTAATTGTGATATCGTTTTGCTATTACGTCAAGAAATATGTATACAGTTCAAGTTTCGAGAAAGAGAAAAGAATAAAGTTTTATTGGTTTAAAGTTTTTGTCGCATCAAAGATTTCATGTTATGGTATAATTTTCCCCGAGGTAAAAACGAGATATCGTTCTATATTTGAAGAAACAAAGTAGCTATACAACAATTTCTTACCAGTATACTCAACATTTCCGCATTTCATTCGTTGTACTGTAACCTTTCTATAGAACAATTAAAGTTTATTAAAAAAAAAAAGCTTTATTGTCAACTAAGTCATAAAGAGATGCAATCCAACTTTCATGAAATATTTGAAACAAAAAATACTTTCAATGAAGAAATTACTCTTCCATCTCAGTTATCCAATTTTCATCTTTTTTTGAATTGTTCAATAAATTACATAAAATTTATTTTCGTCTGTATTCTAGCTATCCACGCCAATGTAGAATTTAATTATTCCGAATGTCTGGAAAACTTGACAACAATATCTCATTTAAATCTGATTAATTATCAATTTCTATCGTTAAAACTTTGTTTTGAAAAAAATAAAGAATCAATATTTTGAATACTGACCGCGGAACACAAGACGACTGAAGTTTACATCAGCATGCTTTCAATTATCATTTTGTCATAAATATTATGTCGAACGAGTATGACTGTTGTACGTTTTCGATTTTCTATTTGAAATAGGGTTAATTAGGCTTCTAAAGCATAACGGGAATCACTAACCATACAGGAGCGAGGTGAGACTGAACCTTTGAATTGATTTTATTATTCATCGACAAATGTGTATCCATACCAAATTTTGTATAAACTATTTCAAAGTTAAAAATGTTATGATTGCGTCATCAGAAATAAAAATTGCGATACTAATAAATAGTGATAAATACTGATTTACTGATAAATATGATTAGCAAGCATCAGGAAAAGC